GTCCATGTGTACGTTGCAGCAAATAAGTTTTTAATATATGTGCAGAAATAGCCTAAGCTAGAATAGCCTAGCAGAAATAGCTAAGTTATACATTCACTTTCGAGGATTGAATGGAAAAAAAATTCATTGTATTAGATTATCGAGTTTGCAGTTAAGATCGTCTCCAATTAGCGTCGAATGGCTTAATCTAAATGGCGTTTCTGAATCACCATTCTGAGGCATTCGTTCCGAAGAGGTAGGCTGAAACTAGATGAAGCGACCTGAGCAGTAGAATTGAGATTAAGAAGCGATTGAGTGCTACTGCCTAGCTACTGACTTCGATCAGCTAAGGAGCTGAGCTAACCAAATAAACAAAACTTTAAGCTCCAAATAATCGATGTTTCAAGAGTATAAGTGTAAAAGTGATTTATAAGGTGTGTTGTATGATAAACACTTCTGAGGCCTCGTGGTCCAACTCTTAGCTACATCTAGAAGGCCAATATAACCTCACAACCCTTAGTACGTCACATTCGCAGTGCTACACTTTTAGGCTGTCGTAATTCTTCAGTTTTATATTGAGTGGAGTTTGCTCTCCTACAGGATGTCCATCGCCTCGTCAGTGCATAAGAATATGCACTTACTAGAAGCGTTGCAAATTTTTCGTTAGCTTAATAAATAAATCATGCCAACGAATTTCAAAAGTACGACAACGAAAAAAACTTTTAGTAGTTATGACAAAAAGAATCGCGTGTCTGCGGTCGCAGTGGTACTCTGAAAACTTATAACCGTCTTTTTTCTATTATGTATCTGATATTTTGTAGCGGTACAGTTTACAAATATAACAAAATGGAACGCCTGCGGTACTAATCGAACCTGCATTACCTTTAGTCAGATGTTGATAATACATTTAAAAACATATAGTCCCGATGTTCTTAAATTGATGTAATAACTGACAGGCACACGATAGTGTGTCAATGGGTAACGCAATACGAAAATTTTAGACAAATTAATAGGTTAAATGGGTTTCTATCGTGAAGCATACACATGCATACGTGCATGTGGCCGAACAAGCGACACGCGTCCCTTGGTCATAACGCAGGAATTAACGTTAGCAGACAGCGCGTGACGCGACCGTTGACATTTTCGAAAATATTAGCGCCGATAAGGCTCGGCTCAAGCAGAGCAGACAGTCGTGCCGGCATGCCACGCCAGCCGAAGTGGTCAGGTCACGAAGGAGCCGCGGGGACGATTCGGTAATAAGTAGAAGCCTGTGCCTGGCGCAGGGCCATCCGATTATTGCGCTATTTAATTTATACGCCGATTCCGACTGCGACTCTGTGCCGAGTTGGCGGAGGATTTTAATCGGTACACGGCACCGGCAAACTAATCCCCGCCCGCGCCGTATAGCCGGGGCAAAGGTACGTTCACAATTCAGAGTTATAGCCTCGTCGAGAACTTCGTTGCAAAGCACTCGTTGCAAATGAATGATAATTCTGTACTTTGGCTGCTCGTTAAACTGTTCTCGCACAAGACCAAAGTATTAAAACGTAAATCTGTCTTGTCAAGTATTAAAACGTAAATGTCAGCCCCTGCCTGTCGCAAAAGGCCAAGAAATAGGCCACTGGGTTCTCGATAGGATGGCGATCTGTTCAATGCCTTTAGTGAACCTGGAACCGTCAGCAGCACAAAGTGGTGTTATGTTGCCGCTTAGCCCTAAGTGAATTAGGGAAGGTTTCTTCACATCGGTTCTGGGCGCCGCTGCCCCTGACGCTGGAGCACCTCCAAACGCAAGAATCGTACAAAAAGAAGGTTATAAAGTTCCATAAACTTATTTCTGCGTTCTGATTTTAGATTACATTGTAGTATAGGTTTGAGACAAATTATAACTTTGAGCCGATGCTCTAATTGATAAAAGATGTCATTTGCCATGGACAAGGTGATATATACACCATCTCAAACTATAAAGTACGGGAAGTAGAGCTCCAATTTACTCTTAAGGGTATTTCATACACAAATACATATATATAGACCATACGGTATTTTACAGCGCAAAACACTTTGCCATTATTGCAACGCTATATATAAAAAACTTACACATAACGAATGATGAAGACAAGTTCGCGAGTACGGACCGACAAACCTACGCAGCTCCCACAACGTACGCTCGCAAATTAGGTTTCGACGTTCCTGAAACATAACGGTATTTATTAAGAGCTTTCGGATGTCGAACCGCCGAGTCGCAAGTTCGTGATGTCTTTAATCTTATGTCTGCGTGAAGTTATTTATGTAAGTGATTTCTAAAAAGACAAATACAAACAAACAAACACAAGGTTTCAAATGAGGAACTAAGTTACGGATGTTTTTAGTTCTATTTGAAATTCCCGACGTTTCGAACCCTTTCCAACGTTCATGGTCACAGGACCGTGTATGATGTATGACATTCGCGTAAAATCAAGAAGCGTGTGTGTGAGTGAACCCAAGATTTGTCTCTTTTTTTCATTACTCAGTCACGAAAGTATCCGAAAAGCCAATTTCCTGGTCCGAATTGCTGATTCGATTAATGAGAAAGCGGAACAGCTCATAATTGTGTGGAGACAATGGATTCACACGTCCAATCTCGTGGAGACGAGAACCGGTCGTGATGTTACGAGCGCTGCAGGCAATATTGCCACCTCAGTTTAGGTGTCACGCCGATGTCAGGTTAATTTCCATGCATCTCCGGCGGACCGTGAACGCGCCCACGACGTTAACCGCCACCGACGGCGTGTCCTTAATTTGAGACACGTTTAAATATTCAACACTCAGCCCTGATGTTTAGCGAGATCTTGTTATCATAAGGGACTATCTAGTGCTCGTCTGCTATACTGACTGATGGTAACAAGGGATGGCTATAGCTGTTCATTTTTGCATTGAAGACACTGTGGTGGGCCACGCAGCGGCTCCTGCTGTTGCACGAATGGGCAGGCTCGTCCGGGGAAGGACCACGACCTCGAGTGGAAGTATTGTTCTTTCATTATTGTCCATGGGCGGCGGTAATGGCCATCGGGTGAACCATTTGCTCTATTGTCAACTTTTACCATAAAAAAGAACCCGCGTTACATTCCAATGAAAAGACAGACGCCGACAAGTTATTCCATACCTTTTCTGTAACCATAATAAGTGGACACAACTCTAGGCTTAGTTCATATGTAAGCTATTAAGGTTTAGAACCCACTAAACCGCTCAACATGCATCTAGCTCGCGGGCGTATCCTAAGCCGTCAGTGGTTGAATTATGAGGGATCCCCGAAGCTGAGAGGTCTATAGAACCTTGGCTATACCTTAATATAACCACTCACGACAATTGTATAGAAATATTCTTACCATTACCTTTCGGCCCATATTTCTGTTCTATGTGATATATTAAAAAGTAGTAAAGATTGGCCAAAAATTACTTCCGGATCCGCCTCTCTTGCGGTTGTGTCTAGGAAACGTCTTGTTTGTGTCACTAACTTAAAATAACAGTTTTATGGGTGTGCATTGTGACAATGTTTTGGGAAAGACTACTACGATAATATTCATTTAGAGGTAACGTACACTAAACTACACTGGAAACGTACACTAACCTAATATTAAAAGCTAGGAAGTCAAATAACGGGTCCGTGTACAGAAACATGAGAAAGTAATAACTGAAGCCGTGAAAAAATCACTAACTGAAAACAAAAGCCGGCAGCATCTCTGCAACTTCAATGGTTGGTTTCCACGAGCGGCTGTAATCACTTGAGCCGCTTCCACGGTCACCCCCCCCCCCTCCTCCGTATAAAAAGCACTATTAGAGCCGACCAGGCTATTATGCTTGGTTCGAATTTGAGTATAAAATAATGTTTCACTAATTTAGACACAAATATAGAAGCAGAGGCAAAATTTGAATTTGAATATGAAATAATGTTTCACTAATATATACTCAAATAAGGTAATAAAAGAGGCTTATGAGGCAAAATGTAAACATTATTGTTTCTCGGAGTGCAATATTATAATTACTGACACTATAGCTGCGGCTTTGTTGACTTTATTATTATTTCATTAATGCTCTCTGCTATAATCTACTTTCCTGTGCAAATCCTTTAAAACTCATCACTGTAGGTAATGTTAACGCATTTTTACAGCGTTTAAAAGTCTCCAGTCGCCGTTTGCGTTCCGGCACCGTATGCGCGCACTCCCAAACTTAACGTTAACCTATTTAGTATACCGAGATAAGTATACCACGTACGCTTGGCGACGCCTGAATTTTAAATATTGCGAAGGTGTTTCAGAAAATGTTTATGCCCGCAGAAAAAAATGTTGGAATAACCTCGTGAAGAGGCAGTCTTTACCTCCCCTTTATCGTCGGATTACGCGTACTTGTTTGTATGTCTACTACGTGATCGTGATACATGCTACACCGTCAGTTCAGTTTTTACGGCGATTAAAATGTATTTCAATCGTACGTCCGGTATGTGTTGAGAGATGAGACGACACTGTCCTAATTGCTCGAGTAAATTGTTTCTCGGTTTGAGAACACTGATTTCATTTATCGGATGTGTTGAGTCATGGGTTCATTTCCCTCACGTTTATAATTCGTGAATAAAAGGAAGAATATCATATGGTGGTGAATCTGATATTGTCCTTCATCCACACTTACACAATACATTGAGTGCTTCCCTAGGATTTATTCCTTATTAATTGTCAAGTGCAACATAACTTATAAAAATATTAAAACAAATAGCTCGTGAAATTTAAAATTACAGAGTCATCTAGCGATAAAAAAACGTTCTCGTAGGACCTTTGTATCGTACTTTTTTTTTTCTCCACGCATTCTACAGTGCAGATGGCGTTATTATTTATATTTGGGCTTTTTCACATATCCACTGTGTATATAGAATGTGCACTAATATTTGAAAAAACTGACTTGGTTAGTCTTTTTATGATAGGTCAAATATAAATATAGAAACTGGTGTAAACTACAGAAAAACAACATTAAATGAACTTTCTGTTTGCTGACAGAGTCATGCGGTGCCGATGACTTCCGATGCAATAATGGCCGATGCATTGAAGGCGCAAGACGTTGCGATCGCGTCGTAGATTGTCCATCTCAAGAGGATGAGCAGGACTGTGGTAAGTTAACCGTCTGGAAACAGCGCACGGGTTAAGAATCAGACCACAGAAGTCTTAGGCGTTCATGAGGCTGAGATTAAATCTTTAAGTCTTCACCGCTGATAATGATTTCAATGTGATACAAAAGAAATGATAAGGTTGAATAAATGCATAAAATTGATTTTGCCCTTCAGGTAATGGGTGAATAAATTTCGCACCAATTAGCATTAGCATTGATTCAAAATGCAGACGAAATTTCATTAACACCCATCCCATCTCGATGTCGTACAGAGTGCAGACCCGACGAGTTCCGCTGCGCGTCCGACGGTTTTTGCATCGAAGGCAGGAAGCGTTGCGACGGCGTCAACCACTGCAACGACAACTCCGACGAATTGAATTGTAATGGTGAGTGACCCGAAATCATCGGCAGATACAAACCTAACGAATCCATGCTTTCTACGCACTAATAATGAATATGTACCATTGTGCATGCATTTCTATTTGGATTGGTAAGTCACTCGAGCGTTCAGCTGGACAGGTGAGCACGTTTGCCAAAGCAGCGGAAGGTTTCTCTGCAAAAATGGAAGCTGCATTTCGATCCTTCTGCGTTGCGACGGTTTTAGAGACTGCGTCAAAGATGGCAGCGATGAAATCGGATGTCGTATGTATTGAGTTAACTTAAAACGTCACAAAGTCGATGACCTTCTGAACAATCAAGTGAAAATTATGTATAATAATAGGAAACTTCACTAAGTAAACCATTTATGAATTTCTACTGTGGTTAAATTTCATAATAATATTTACCAAGGTTTACTAATAATTGAATAATCTATTCAAATTATGAAAAAGACTTGACTACTTGATTGATTCTAATTGGAGTTGATGTCATCGGCTTTTGGGTACATTCAGTGGTAAAATTCAACTACTCGTAAGTACATTTTATAAATTAATTGTACGTGTGAAAAGCATGCGGCCCGGATTTTTGGCAATGCGACTTTGGGAGTTGCATCAAACGCAGCAAGCGTTGCGACGGTCGAGTTGATTGCCCGACTGATAGATCCGACGAAAGGAATTGTTTCGGTAAGGTCTTCGTAACAAAGGAATATTACATTAATATTACATATATGTTATTAATTTTATTGTTATTAAACGTATACCTTTTATAAATATGCTCTCGATAAAACATTTTCGTTACTTTATAAGTGAAGATTGTTGGAAATTATTAATTATTATACAAAATTATAATATACTGTCTCCATCACGAAAAATTAACATTTACGAAACTCAAACAACATCACAGTCAATAACAAACCCTTGCATGTATTTCCAGCAAGTGGATACTTTAGATGCAGGAACGGCAAGATGCTACCGCAAAGCTTGAGATGCAATCGCCAATACGACTGTGATTCGGGCGATTATTCAGACGAACAGAACTGTCGTAAGTTCATCAAACAATAGAAGCTTCTTTTTCGATTCTTCTTTTCTCCTTCATTCTCATTTGTTTCACCATCTTTCCTCGATTCTCTTTTGTTTCCTTTCACTTTTGCTTTTATCTTGTCTCTTGTTTTGTCTTTTAAATCTGACTCCTGTTTATAGTCTTCTTTCGTACTGCACAGTATTAACCGATATTTCAAATATATAATTTCAAGTTTTTCGCACCGTTACCCTGCGCACTGAATAAAAATTATTCTCCCGTAGATGTTGCGATGTATGGTAATTTCTCCTCTATATAGCGTAAAAAGTTGTGACATGGTATTTTCTTTTGTCGGTTAGCATGTGGTGTCGACGACTTCAAATGTGACAATGGATACTGCATTCCTGCATCCAAACACTGTGACAGAACGCATGACTGTCAGGATGGCTCTGATGAACGCGGTTGCACTTATGGTTTGACTATTTCATTGCTCCGTATTTTTCCTGTGTTCTTAGTGAAAATGACGTTTTAGCCTCAAAATTTAGAAACAAATGTTTGTTGTTTCCATACCCTGTGCTGTTCTGTTACCGTTTAGTGGAAATTGTATATGTAATATTGTATATTAGTATTGCTTTTTATTTAAATCATAAAACTTAGGTTTTCAAAATTACGCTTCCGATCTTTAAATCAATTTGAAGACCACTAAATTAGTTTTGCTACAAAGAAGATATTTTTACACTCAAAATTATATTTCACCAGCGGCGGTTCGATTTTTTTTGCATCTTTTATCCGATCCCTGTAAATATCCTTGGTTATGGTTTGTGCATTGTATATTATTATGGCAGGCACAATATGCATGGCTTATGAATATAAATGTTCGAGTGGACAATGCGTGCGAGCGGATTCCTGGTGCAACGGGACAAAGGAATGCAATGATGGTTCAGACGAACGGAACTGCCCTTGTAAAAGGGACGAGATCGAATGTCGGGATGGTTCTTGTATTAATATCGCTTTGCGATGTAACGGTCGAAAAGACTGCCACCCACACGGGGAGGACGAGTTGAATTGCGGTGAGTAAAGCCCAAAAGTGCTAAGACGTTCGTGGAATGGTATTCATCTGTGTACTCTTCATCTCCTATCGAATTTGCGTAGCTTGAGTTCGGTGTTATCTGATTGATTAACAGGTCAATGTAAGTAGCTACGTGTGATTTGATTACAAATTATGTAACAAACATGCTTGCTTTAACTAGACGCATGAACTAACCGCATGCAATATTTTTAAGGTGACAACTGGAGATATAAATAACCATGTGAAATCCATCATCTCTATCTCTTAATTGTTTCAAATTTATTGTAAGTAACCAGTTTAATGTTGTGACATATTAATTTATAAATCCGTGTGAATTGACGTTTTATAGTTGGTACACGTTAATTTTGGCGGCACTAAATTAAAAAAGTCAATTACGGTAGAAGTATCACGTAGACAAATGAGTGTGTAGGTGGGCCAGAATTTTTATTTTGGTGTCGTGAAATATGGATCTTGGTATAGTTTTTGTGAAACCTTGTGCTGATCCGAAATGACACTCCAGGTGGTCCGCGTTGCCCGCCAGACGCCTTCACGTGCGATCCCTCCTCAAGCGTCCCTTGCGCCAGACGATGCGATGGAAGAAGGGAATGTGATGGTGGCGAGGACGAAGACAAGTGCAGTGGTAATTACGTTGCAAAATTATTAGAACAAACAAGATTGATTTCGTCGAGTCTTGGTGCCTTTACTGGTTTACACTGTTGGTGATATAAGTTGTGGAGATTTTACTGCCGGTGATATAAATTGTCAAGAGTTAACATAAATTTAATACGTTATACCAGTTGTGCAATTCAGTTGGCACAGAGACTCCATTTATTTCAATCATTTCTGGAATCACACTTTCTTGACTACTTCTCTGAGTTTCCTGTTAATAAGAAGCAGAGTTAATAAGTTTTTTTTTAACTAAAAATTACTTTACTAATACTATCCAATATCATCGCACAATCGTTAAACCTTAATTAAATACCACAAGTATTCTTTAGGGTGATTGAACTTTTATAAATTATGTTATATTGGTTCAAAATATATTTAAGTACTAAATGAAGTAATCATCTTTAACAGCGATTTGGAGATATATTAATTTTATAAACGCTATGCGATTGCAACATTTTAATACATGGCGCTAGCTTACCATTTAGATATATGCGAAATAAAACCAACGATTCGATGCAATGCTTCTGCGACTTTTGTGCCTTTTATTAATTCTCATTACTGTAACGAGACTGTTCGACGACAACTCTACTTTATATAGCTATCGCAGTAGTTCCGCCATGAATTAAAAGACGTGAGCTCAGTAAACGTACCAAACTTAAACTAACTTTGCAACGACATTACAATAGCTACACTTGTGCGCTGTGAGATTCTGAGTTGCCATTACAAGATTTACAAAATGGTGGTATTTCTTTCAAGAATGCAGCCACAAGTGCGACGGCAGGTGTCTAGAGGACCGACAAATATGCAACGGTATTGTCGATTGCGACGACGGATCGGACGAGCTTTCGTGCCCGGAATGTGATGGCCCTAACGACTTCAGGTAACGATATATTGTTGAGAAGCAAGTACAAGTGTCTTAGGGTAAGCAATTAGTTATACAACATGTAATACGCACGGTCGCGAACGTCATTGTTCATAACGGTATTTGTATTATAAACGCTATTGTATGTAATCGTATTATATCGATGCTGCGCGCTGTATCTTCGCTGGCGTGTTTCAAGGCTTATATGCTTAGTTTTATGTTAACCACTGCGATTTGCCGTAGATGTTCAAATGGGGAATGTATAAACATCGCGCACCGTTGCAACGGTTTGAACGACTGCTATGATTCGAGCGACGAAGCGCAATGCAACAACACAATGCCGTCGAGAGGTAACTGTCTTTTTCTTTGGCACTGATGACGTTGATCCCAATAAGATTATCGCACCTAGCCATTTACTTCTATTCTTGCAGCCGAGTGCAACGAGAACCAATTCCAATGCAGGGACGGTACCTGCATCGACGCCGAGTTCTATTGCGATAGGAACTACGATTGTTATGACAATTCCGACGAGGACAACTGCCGTAAGTCATCAACATTTCAATTCACTTTTCCTCTCTAATTCTTAATCCTTTCTAATTATAAAGACGTCACTTTTATTGACGTCGTTATTTATTTCACTTATATTTGGAGGATATTTACAGTAATAAAAAAAGTAATCTGACGTAATCGATTGCGACTTGTTTCGTTTTGTATTAAAACATGCCAAATATCAAAACCATGGTGAAATGCATTTAAAATTCTAAATATTTTCATAGAAGATAGCCGAGTCAAAATACACAATAATCAGCTGCACAATATCGTTCATACATTTTAAGGATATATCATAATAGATGCTTCAAGAAAGTAAGATTTAGATCTTATTTTACTATTGCAAAATTAAGCACAATGCACACACGAGCTTGTAGTCAGATATAAAGAACAAGGAATATCAATTTTCAGAACGCACTGTTCGCTTCAACCACTTGTAAACAGCACTTATAATAAATATTGTTAAGATCACTTAAAGTTTAATTTATAGTTCAAAATCACTTTAAAATATTTTGCAAATACTCTTGTACTTGAAACACAAATAAAGTTTTTATGTTCAATCGTTTTAGCTTTAGTCATTGAATGCCAAAATATCGCTAAAAGCAGATATTACGAACTAAACACAGCCATTAAAGTAAAAATCTAAAATAAAACAAATAATTATTCAAACTTGCCAACTATCGCCAAGCGCGGCAGTAATGTAAATTAAGCTACGGAAAAATATTACGACGTGTTCCTGTTGTAATTGTACTTATTTTTAGATAACTTATGTTTAGTAGGAAAAATCTTTGAAAGCAATAGCGCACCACTTTCATAATAGATGATGGAAGACATGTTAGAAGACCTTTATCCGTTGTACGTGCAACGGTGCGGTTGTCAGACCGAATGGCAAACACATTTAAACACTAATTTTTAAACGGACGTTCTAAGTGTCGCAATTGTACAGCTTGGATTGTGAGGCCGCCAACGTCGCCCCCACCACCGTGCCACGAATCTGAGTTCACGTGTTACGACGGCCGATGCATTCCTCATATACTACGATGCGACAATATTTACGATTGTTCGGACTTCTCCGACGAGCAAAAGTGTTACCACTCTGGTACAAATAACCTTGATAATGTTATGTTGTATGAGTGTTTGGACCTCCATATGTGCTATTGTTATCCCAGTACCATCGTTCCGTTTGTTTTGCTCAGCGTGATGAGTGCATCCACCCGTTATTGTTACCGACGTCCCTTCTAAACGACGCAGTGCTTTTCAGTTGTTTGAAATAGCTACCTTATGTCTAGTAGTATTTGGTAGAGTAAGTAGATAGAATTGTAGAAGTAAATCAGAATACAAATAATTTTCGTAGATTCTATCCCTAATATTATTTTTATATATTTAGACTTAGCATGATGTTAATAAATTTTTTCGTGTAAAAAATGTTGAAAAGTAGCTCCTTGCCAGAGATTTGTTTAGTTTAAAATATACATATTACGAGATTTGTTTTTATTTCAATGCTTGCCCATTACACTGTCTAGAATTAGCAACGTGTTTTGCAACTTACCTCTTAAGTGAAAATGTTTTTCTAAAACAAAACTGCAGTTGCTGTATCTGAAAAATATTCTACATCATTACAAAGTATTAATAAGAAAATGTTTCATTTTTTAGCATGCAGAGAGAACGAATGGCAATGCACGACTGGACAGTGCATTCCAATTCAAGGCCACTGCGACGGCCAAATTGACTGCTACGATCAATCTGACGAGAACGACTGTTTCACAACAACTTGGTCTCCGCCTATTACGCCACAGTCACCCACCCGTAGTCCATATACCTTTGCCCCACCCACTGAGAATCCCGCTGCCTATCCGCCACGCGATTATTCTACTCTCCGACCTGATGTATACCCTAGACCATCAGCAAGACCTCCTTACCCTTACCCTTACCCTGGTGGATCAGAGTCTTCAATAGGATCAGGAGGCGCCGACGGAGGACAAGGAAGACCTAACGCTCCAGGCTCTGGTATGATCATATTACAGTTACATTGTTTAAAACCATTCGATAGACACCTTATAGACGCTATATTCAAAAGCCTAGTACTTTAATTATACCAAACATCTTTATTAAGGAGAAAATGTGTGTTAGTTAAAAACTTTAAACATTGGCTAAATTGCACGACACATTTACTAGTTGTTATATGCATTCAATGTCAAAGTCAAAATTAGTTTATTCAATAGTTTAGTAGTTTAATCTCCTTTTTGACATCAAAAAACTACAGATTCAATAAAATAGACCTGTCAAGTAAAGAACCGGCAAAAAACTCTGGTGTTTTACCTTTTTTCTATGATATACTACAAAGTTATTTAGGTACAAAATCAGCAGCAGCCAGGGGACTTGCAAGTGCAGAGCAACGGTCATATTCAGTCAAATCCTTTTTCTCATTGTATTCTTCGTCATTAGAATATGGCCCTATACTATAGGTCATTACTATGTTTCAATGAACTCTCAGACCATGTAGGGAACATGTTGCGCAAGGCAAGGGAATCGACAATTGGCTTATGGGTGTACAAAATTTTCGTATAGATGGTTGCGCCCCGAATCAATGGCGCTGTGAAAATGGGCCTTGCATTGATAACCGACGGAGATGCGACGGTCGCGTGGACTGTCCCCGCGACACAAGCGACGAACTTGACTGTCCGTCTGACAGTAAGACATACGTTACAAATGCTTAAATCCAATCAAAAGTTTCACACAATAGAAGCACGTAACCATTTCTTTACTGCATTAATATTATCTAATGAAAGCGCTTAAATTAAAATTATTTCTTATCTTAGATTAATTATTATTTCCATTATTAATTATAAATTTTATTAATTATCACTACTTTCACCATTATTTAATCAATTTACAAGTGGACACGTTGGTTATTATAAATTTGTATTCCTTAATGGAATTACCAGACTATTCTTAAATCATTCCGACAGTAAGTTTTGTAATACAATGTAAATTAATAAATATGAAAATTTAATATTTCCATACAACCAGAGGGAATAAATAAAAAAATAAAATAAGATCGAACACAATCGATTTTTAGCAAGTACTGATTAAATATTGAATTAATATATGTATTATACTATGCAAATGTGTAGTTACTGGTGAGATGTTTAAAATTAAAAAAAAAAAAACATTATAAAGTTGATTTTACTTTCGAACTTTTGATAACGTAATGTATGTGTAATACTGTAATTAAGTGTTTACAAGCAATCATCTAAAGTACTACTAATCTATTTATTACTTACTACTTTTCTTCTGTGCTTTGGCAATACCTTGATCGAAGAACACGAAAAATTGCTCAATGTCAGCCTAAAACTCTTATTTATTTCATCTTAACAAGTAATAAATTGATTATGATTACATTTCAATTATATTCTTTCAAAGTATTTTTTTATTTCAAATACAATTGAATGTAGTTAAATTTATTAATTACAAAACAAGTTACCTCATGTACTGACACATACAATAAAATACACAGTCGTCCTAAATTGAATGTGCACATCTGTCCAAGATGTCTTGATTAACAATTAACAAACATCTGAAATTCCGGTGTATCAATTAAATTTTCGGATATTACTAATAAATATAACACAATCGTAATATGAGCACCTAAAATAATACATGTATATCTTTCTTATGAGATATCTTTTGGGTAAGAATAACTTAACGTTAACCTGATTTTAGTTGTTTCATATACATATTCAGGTTTGCTAATTCTCAAACTAATTTCAGGACCAGACTCAGCCGCGTTGAATTTGAAAACGTACCCGAAGGCGCAGACAGTACGAAACGGTGAGTTACCATGGCAACGTTCATTTATTTCACACACCTATCTTATCTCTATAGACACGATGAACTATATATTTTCCCTGTATTCAATACAAATAAGGATACAGGTGAGTTTCAAACTGCAGATTGATAAGCAACAAAGAATACTGCAAATCCTTGACCATCAGTTTCTGAATTATTGGACTTATTGTTAGATTTAAAAATTATTTAGAGGAGAAAGTTAAGTGATATGACTTCGCGAATAGATTTTTTTCTGCCTTTTACTTCACTATTTCTTGTCGTGCTTGCTGTTTCTTTATTTTATTTAAAGATATCTCCTGCAAACTATCCTTCATACCAGCCTGGTTGGAAGTAAATTGGTTAATGTTCCGCTGCACTTTTCATTCACGGAGATGATGTTTTATTGCACACACAACACTATAAGTTGTAATTTGTTTGTAATTTATAATAATAGAACTAAATAACTTTTGTTTTAACCTCATATTCGGTGGTGGTTACCAGCGGACGTCTTTAGGTATAATTTATTATGTTAAAATAGATTAAGACATTTCTTAAGGTATATAAAAATATATGCCGGTTAATAATTTGAGTTATTTCTTTCATGGTGGTGGACCAGTCAACACTGGTGAGTTCGTGTGTATAAGATATTTGGGTGCAATTTCATTAATGGGTCTATATAATATATACATATTTGTATCTAAGTAAATCTGTATACAGATGGGTATACTATGATATATAATGTATTCATTATTTTACAGTATTAGATAGTATGATTCTGCGAACATTCATAACAATTATATTTAACCTGTAATCGTTCACCTTGCAAAATAAATTCCTAGTGCGCGAAGATATTTTACCTCTATTTTCATTTCTGCCATTTTTAAATATAAATTCACACGAATTTTCATACACAAGGTTAAATTATTTATATTACTTGTGAAGTTTACCTTGCCTTCTTTTATTTTTATATATATTATATATGAAATAGACGAACAATTACAGGTAATGTACGGAAAAGAGTCACTAGAGTATCATTTAATCTTAACAGGTTCAATTCAAGACATCATTGCATGAATTTTCGCGTATTATCATTTAAACAAACGTAACAATAGTTACAGTACCAGAATTGTATATCTACATTTACTCGTAGTTTACAACTAAAGTAATTAATGACTAAATATTCATCATAATTTTTAACGGTTTGTCGTTTTTGAATATTAATAGGTTATGTGAATAATAATAAAGTTTTTTTTAATCATGTGGAGAAATAATTACGCTAATGTCATGTTTATATTTTGACTAATTTTTATTATTTTTTAAGAATTTCGCCTTTAGACAACTACGGAAGTAAATAAATTGATGAATAATTAAATATTTCAGGACACATTTTTACAAAATGTTTTCTAGTCGCAAACCATGCAACGATTGTACTATGGGTACTAGATAACTGATAAAGATACATAAACATACTTTTATTTTGTAAATAAATACATATTATAAATATATAAACACCCAGACACAAAAACACTACGATCATCACACAATATTTTTCCAGTAGTGAGAATGTAACAAACCCAATATTATCAATAATGTGTCACAAGTCTTCAAAGGCTGATTTTATGTTAGTGGACAGTTCAGGTTTCCCGACTTAAATAGGACTAAATACATTATATTTATTCCTCCAGTTAGTTTGCCGAATTGTGACAACGAAAATCAAATCATTATCGTTTTCTTTAAAACAAATTCAAACCTTAAGGTCGAGTGTTTAAGCTCCCAAATGAAATCAAATTAGTATTTAATGCTATAGGTATATAAAAAAGTTGGAGTTGCGACTTCCTATGTATTGTAAATCGACATTATACTTATCATGAACGGTGCCGAAAATGTATCGAAACCATCTTAACCAAATGTAATAATGCATCTTTCGAAATTCATGTCACATGTTGCGATCATACAGTATTCAGATTCATCACATAAGCTCGTTTGGGAATTTGTATTGGAACTTTGCTTTAAAGTTTCAATTGGGCATTATTTTTCGAACTCCATTAATTTGCCTGAAACGGAACGTTGCATCCGGGGCTGCCACTTCTGACTACGGCGTGGTGTTGAGTTCGTGAATTTGTCCAGGTGGCGACGTGGTGTTCCAGTGCCGTGACGAGAGTCGCCTGCGTGCGCCAGTGCGCTGGGTGAAGGAGGGCGGTAGACCACTGAAGCCAGGATCCATTGACCGTAATGGACGTTTGGAGATGAATCAAGTGACGGTGAGTGCGAAATCAACGTAACTCGTTTGCCTCCTTTACCGTGAATAAAACGCGTTTAATTTCTTTTATGAACGAATGTACACCAACAGAGGCACACAATATATGCCTCTGCTGGTGTACATTCGTTCGTCGAGACGATGATTTAAATATGGCGGGTTACAGCGCCCCATTATTAAGTAACTAGACAGAACCACCAGTTAATGTTTGAATATTTTCTTCCATATTAATAAATTGTAACTTACACGTCTGTGTAAACCAATGGGTTTGTCCCTGACGTGCAAGTACAGCCTTTTTAACTGACACGGCGACAAACTCAAATTTGAGCTAAAAGAATCCTTTCACGTGCTTTGGAAACGTAATATCTTATTTTATTATTTTTAGGTTGATTAAAAATGTATAAATTTTTTTTGTTTACAACGAACTTCAACGTTTTACGTGCGTTTAAACTTTTTTCGTTTATAAAAACTTGTGGTCCACTCGGAGAATGCCGCGGTAAAGCTATTGCATAGCATTTTTTTATCAACTTATGCAATTATTATTTATTTATTTTTTATTTATGCAGTATTTTTTTCTTTGATATTAATTCAAGTTACACCTTTCGAGCGTGGTGACCGATTTATTGAATAAATTAGAAGTTAATATCGTTTAAAATATTTTTATTATCTTACAATACATGTAGCTTATTCAGGAATTTTTATCATTGAAACTATAGGTTTATGGTAACTGAAATAAGAAACATAATTTTGAGACTTGATATCCTCTAAATATCATATAATCATATGATAATATTATATTATAATATCCATCCGTGCGAGCTTCGTACAGTCGTACCATATACATACCACGGCGTTTTTAAATTGTCGACTCTACTGATAAGTTTTTACTGTTCGGAATGAATTGCACCTTCTACGTTGACTTGATTCCAGGTATCGGATAGCGGAACCTACATTTGCCAAGCGCCACGATACCTGGGCAGCCCCGGCTCCGAAGTGAGGGTTAACCTTATAGTGGAAAATGCACGTAAGTGTTGAAATTAACTATTAAGTAATATAAAGTTACTAACGGTAATGAAGGTCTCATCGCGATTTAGTTCTCTAATATTAATATATGGATATCGTGATTTTTTAGTGTTCAAATGCTAAGTAACAATGTAGAAAGAAGGCGTTAAGATTTTCGTCGCTGTGGCTATCAGCCGTTTAGCTCAATGGCTAGAGCGTCAGGCCGCGAATGCCGACGTGGGTTCGATTCCCACAGCGGCGACAATCTTTTCGTACTTTTTCTACATGTTTTAATGTTCAATCTTAAGTGCAGAGATTAGCACTACAAAAAACTTCAAAAATTTTTAGTGTTCATTAGGTTTTCCACGAATAAGTAGGTACCGTTACCAGTTACCGTATGTATAACTATGTGTAGGTATGTAATTATTAATCAATAAGGGGTATCTTATTTTGAAGAATAACGATTTTTCATTTAAAGAATAATATAGATATCATTATCCTATGTATATTTGGGGATATTCCTTTGTTTTCTCGTCTGGTTGGGTTTATAGATAAAAAATAAACATATAGATGTATATTATTCCTTATTTATGTTTTTTTTAAACGAAAGTTTACGAAAACATCTCTCATCGTCTAATTTTCGTCAATATCTTTAAAATGGTGTTTGAATCATTATATTAGGATGAAGAATGATGGATGCTACGGATACCGACAAAGTGTGAATAGTACTTACTTAATTATTCAAACTTTTACAGAGTTTTCTTATCTAAATAAAATAAGATATATGATACTATAAAAGTTACATAAAGATAAATAAAAATACATCCAGGGGGAACAAAGCCTAGAGCCGATTTTAGTCCGAAACAATCGTAATATGTGTTACGAGAATCTTCTCCTTAACAGAAACAAGTATCTGTAAACACGCGACCTTAATGTCAGACATCTCTTGCCACTTGATTTTGTATCTGATTCTGCTCTTATGACGCTCTGTAATGATGTTTAATAATATTATTAGGTATTTACTGTAATGTCGAAAACCCTGACTAAAAACGTGGTGTTAGGTTTTTGCAAAAACACACGTATATTGTACGTCCCAATAGTTTCTGGTGTGGCCATTTTATGGGTGAGCTCCGAGATGTACTTCAAATGAGCCAGTCTCCAGTCCATCAGACCATAACTTCGTGTATGCGCGATACCCAATAACAAGAGAACGGGAGCCTACACGAACTGAGATGGTGCCATGCTCGGCTTTCTGTTCTCCTTCATATACTTCTGTGTTATGTGTCTCATCACGTTTACTGCCGTTCGTAGCACCAGTATCGCAGTCGCAATTCCACCCGTGCCGAGCCTCGGAGGCGACCTGCGGCAACGGCCAGTGTATACCAAAGTCTGCTGTCTGCGACGGCAAGCCCGACTGCGACGACAGATCGGACGAAGACTCTTGCAGTGAGTGCCGCACCATTTACTGCCAGCGCTCGGCCGACTACACCTGATGACGATCGATGCGCCCTTTCTCTTTAATCATTCTACTTGCCGAGACGTTTGGAATTAATGCAGGGGAGGGTACCGAAAAATGGATCAGCTGAACAGCAGCTCGGGATGTTTCTGGATATTTCGAACGAATCGAAACATATAAAAGTGATAAAGTCCATTGACAAAAGACAACTAACTCGTTCGGTTTTCGCCACGACATTGTTGGTGCTAGATTCCAAGCGCTCGATAGTTCCACGAAATGAGGTCCAACACCGAAGTTGTTCGTTAAGCTACAACTAGTTCTAATAATCTAATAGTATTGTTTTCCATCCTTACTTATCTTACACTTGATCAGCACATTGCAATCCGGGTGTTTTCCACGTATGGCCTTGTGCGTGTCCCTTTCCGAGCGGCTCCCGGGACCCGAGATCGTTTTCCAGACCTCAGCGGGCGCTGCGAGCCGAACGAGTTCCGTTGCGCGAACAAGAAGTGCGTGCTGAAAGACCTGGGTGTGCGACTCCGAGAACGACTGCGGCGACGGCTCCGACGAGGGGGACTGCCAGCCAACCGAGCACGGGCAGGCCTGCTCGCCCGTCGAGTTCGCCTGCGCCAAGGGCCAACAGTGCATACCGCGGTCCTACCACTGCGACGGCCACTTCGACTGCCAGGACAAGTCCGACGAGATCGGATGCGGTACGTCACACCAGCTCGATGCGCCCGGCTCGACGAGGGTGCCCTTTTACCGTAGTAACGCGCCCCGTTTACTGTGCGCTCGTGATAACTCTTACCCAGTTGCTGTTTGTTCGTCGAAGGTGACAGTCATGACAGGCTAGTGTTCTGCGTGTCACCATTCAGAATGCCCCCTAAAGTGTCGATGTACGACTTTATGTCCATCCGTATACACCTAACATCAGGTGAACCGCCTGCACGACGATCTTTTACATAAAAAGACAACAATGTAACGAAACCTAACGAATACCAAAGCACTGTAGTGTCTGAATTACAACAGGAGGGCCCCGTGTTAATAGCAAATAGCAAATAGACTACAGCGGTAGCCGGCATACGGTTCGGTGTGGCACAACATTGTAGATTGGAACATTCCCCTCAGCGCCGGTGCATGTTACGCGCCCGCCGGCGCCCTCCAACGTGAGACTGAACCCCGGCGAGAGCTTGGTGCTGGTCTGCGAGGCCGTCGGTGTTCCTACGCCACTCATATCGTGGCGCCTCAACTGGGGCCACGTGCCGCCCCAATGCACGTCCACCAGCCAAAACGGAGTGGGAACGCTCACGTGCAACAACATGCAAGTGAGTGTCCGCCCGCGTGGTGCCTTGGATACATCGCATGTGCTATTTTTTTATTGCCACAGATGGCGCCCGAATCGAAAGCTTTGTGCCAACGGCGGAATTTACAGTCCGTGCAACTTAAATAACCGGCCAAATGCGAGCCCGAGTCGTGCACGAAGGGTTCCGTACCAATATCTACAAAAACGGCATAAAAATCATGTCTGTCGTCTGAATTAAACACCCAAATTATTTTTTAATTTGATTTTTAGTATTTGTTGTTGTAGCGGCAACAGAAATACATCATCTGTGAAAATTACTGACAACTGTCTAACTATCACGGTTCATGAGATACAGCCTGATGACAGACGGACAGACAGACAGACAAACAGCGAAGTGTTAGTAATATGATCCCGTTTTACCCTTTGGGTATGGAACCCTAACAAAAAATATGTAACAGCAATGTTAAAAAAAAATCATGTAAGTGTAAGTTAAAGGTCGATATTGATAGTAGATTATTAGTATCAGACTTTTTCCTTAATGGAGACAGTCACAACTTTGAGAATGACCACAACAGACAGTTGTACCAAGGTTGACGTCACAACTTTTTAGTTTAGTTTCAATACAATTGTAGATTTTAGCTTAATTGAACACATCTTTACAGTCCGAAGATAGTGGAGCGTATTCCTGCGAGGCTATAAACAGAAGCGGTACCACCTTCGCCGCGCCCGACGCCATCGTTTACGTCAACAAAACCGACGTCTGTCCCACTGGATACTTTAATAGGTAAAAATTAGACACCGTTTTAAGACATGGCCAAATGGAACCGAAAACTGCTGCTTTTCATCTTCATAATTCATCTGCTCCTCACACGAATGGCCGGGATGTACGGGAGAAGTACCACAGTCTCGGAAAGATGGAAGATCAGTGTTAAGTAACTTTGTTGTAACATTTATGCGGTGACCGAATGCTTCTTAAAGGCCGTAAACGCTCCGGGTCACTTCTAATGCGGCGGATGGATCTCGGTGATCACCTATATATTATTGAAAAATTCCTATGTTTTTTTATGGAAAAAAGGAGGCAAACCAGTATGCAGATCCCCTGATGGTAAGGGATCACTGCCGCTTCACTTGCAGCATCGGTTGAGTCACAATTGCGTTGTTGGCCTTTAAGGAAGTGTCACGGACACGCTGTGTCCACTGTCACACGAATGGGAAGGTCCGTCCGGGTAAATACCGCGACCTCATGGAAGACCGCCGCGAAGTGGAATTGTACTTTTGCTTTTCGTCTGTCGAGCGAGGTAGCCGGGGCCCACTTTATTAAAGAGTGGCATCGCATCGGCAGCCCTGCGGGTGTTGCAAACGTCCACGGGCGGCGGTTACTACTCAACATCGGGTGAGCCGCCGGCTCGCTTTCCGCCGTCCCACATAAAAAAACCGCCCAATTGCTAGTCCGATTCGCGCACGAAGGGCTCCGTACCATCATCTATAAATGTTCCGTTCTTGAGTCCCATTTTGTCCTTTGGGTACGGAACCCTAAAAATTCAAAAATACCGTCGCCAAGTGTTACCAGTGTCCGACGCGTCCGATTCAATACCGAACTCCCCACGAGCCTCCCCCCCCCCCCTTTCTGCGGCAGCGAGGCGCGCTCCCAGAGCGAGTGCATCCGCTGCTTCTGCTTCGGCGAGTCGAACGTGTGCCGCAGCGCGGACCTGTTCACGTACAACATGCCGACGCCGCTCGGCGAGGGCGGCACCAGGCTGGTCGGCGTCAAGCGCACGTACGCCGGCGACGTGCAGGTCGACGCGCAGGCGATCGCCGACCGCTACTACTACCAGTCGATGAGGAACGGCGCCACGGTGAGCAGCCCAACTGTGTCTCTTCCCTCTCCCTCATGTCTGATGATCGCGGTTGGTGGTCCTTCTCACCTCCGATGAGATCCTCCATCGATTCCGGTCCGTCGCGGTCCACGCCACATCGTGGAGCTTCCGAGACGGTTCTGTCTGACCTGGTCAGCCCATCGTGGAGATCGGCCACGTCATCTTATTTCCAAAGTTTCGTGTCCTCTTCTCGTTATGTGGCCTAAGTTACTTGCAACCGTTTGCTCGCTCGTGATCTTCGCGTAAACTGTGTTTACGTCAAGCGAAACGTAGAAAGGCAAGCGACAGTCTGTATATGTCGACTGCCGGGCGAAGGCCTCTGTGGAGAGGGTATTAGAGTCCACCGCCACCACACTTCTTACACATTTTTGGGATATGGGCAGGAGAAAAAAGAAGATAGTTTATGCACATGTAGTACGCTGGGTCCGCGACAGTAGTCAATTAATATCACCAGTTCAGTTATCGACTTTTCACATAATTATAATAATATCAACCCGCTATTTACTTCTATAGGATATATTATATGGACAGAAATTATCGCAATGCGTGTTTATACCTACTTAATTATAGCATTTCATTCTTTACCTTATACTAAAATATATTTTGCAGGTCACGAAACTCGACCTGGGCTCCTGGTATTCGAGTTCTGACGTGCAGCCGTACCTCACTCTACCGGAGACATACAACTCTAACCAGCTCACTTCCTACGGCGGTCACATTAGATACAATCTCGCACCGCACTCAACCAGATTTAGTTCCGATGACACCCCTGATATTATTATAAAGGTATACTGCATTATCATTTACAAATCTTCAATTAATTATACTCATGGTCATGGTTATATGACAATCTAGATTACACTCCAAGAAATTTTATGATTTTAATTTATATGACTTGTAATTACAAGAATGGGTGAATTTCAGGGCAAATATCAAAGCTTAATATACAAATACCGTGGTGACATCTCGCGAGATGCTTACATAGAAGCCCGTCTAACTCCTGGCAATTGGATGAAGCCTACCGCTAGAGGCCCAGAAATGGCTTCTAGGGAAGATATTATGATGACGTAAGTAATTAAATATTTATAAATGAGTTGCATCTCAACACGATTATATAATTTTATGAAGAAATTCATTTCATATCAATATTATTCATAATCATATTCAATTATTTTATAGTATAGTTAGAAAATAATAAAACCTTATGTATTTTTGGAAAAAAATGTTATATTTAGATTAACAGTTTTGTATAATAAATGATATTTCGTTTTAAGCTTGGACAATATCGAAATGATCCTTTTACGTGCGAGCATAAACAACGCTGGTGTCAACATCACTGACTTCGCCATGGAATCGGCTCAACATATCAATGTAGGACTCGGAGCCGCCAGTCTCGTAGAAGAATGTACTTGTCCACCTGGCTATGAAGGACTGTCCTGTCAAGTAAGCGTCAATAACAGCTTATAGCTTCTTTGACATTTTCGTTATAAATTATCGCAGTTAAAACATATTAGGTATTAAAATATAAACATGTACATTTCGTTAAAATGTCCACAATTTGTATGTCCTTTATATTTAATTGTAATATTGTCTTCTTAGTTCTTTTTTATCTTTACTAGACTTTGTTTGTTTTGATACCGTCAAACGGTCAAATTAGAAAAGTTGACATGTATTGTATGGGAAACGTAAACATACTCTAGTTTACTAGATATTATAGTACTATCACTCACTTAGTATTTTCTTTGGTAATATATTGTAGGCAACAATATTATTTTATTTTTGTATCGCTTCAAGAAATGCGCCGCCGATTACATACGTGTGAAGAATGGACCGTGGCTGGGAGACTGTGTGCCGAGAAGGGCCTGCCCCGAAGGGACGTACGGCGACCCGAACAGTGGCTACGACTGTAAACCCTGCCCTTGTCCGCTCACCAACCGCGGCAACCAATTCGCCAGGACATGTTCCGTCGGGGCCAGCGGCGACGTCATCTGCGATTGCTTCCCCGGGTACGGTTTATTTAACCTTTGAGGCTTAGAAAGGTCCCTTTAAATGAATTTCATATTTATTAAAATATACGTATTAGGATTCGTTGTTTTTTTCCATTAGTGCCAGGTTTTTTCGACTAACATTTTACCTAGGATTCTTATAAAAATTATTAATCATATTTTGTAGAAACTATTCTAATGCAATGTTACAGATATGAGGGCCCAGACTGCCGTTACTGTTCCTCAAACTATGTAGGAAACCCATTAATACCTGGAGACTCCTGCAAACCTAAACCCTCAGATAATTGCAACCCAATGGGCACTAGTACTGTTAGGCTTCCTGATGAATGTGTCTGCAAGGATAATGTGCAAGGACGATACTGCAACGAGTGCAAGAACGGCACTTTCTATCTTTCTGAAGACTTTAGGTAAGTGTTCATATAATTTCATATATTAATATGTTCATTTGTAATTTATTTTATTGTAACAGCCATTATTCTAGTTTTGTTATCAATGTATAGGCATCATGGAAACCAGGCTGTGGCTGTCCATTGCTGCACAAAGATATTCCATCACGGTATACCTTTAATTTAACATTAATGTTAATTCTCTACAGACATGGTTGCGCCCTATGCTTCTGTTCTGGTGTCACACAACAGTGTACAAGCAGCACTAACCTTAGAAGGAAGACCATGAGTGTCAGTTTCAATGTGCCTAATATTGTGAATGAGGTGAAAGTCTACTCAAGCGCGCCGTCTAGTGGAGGTGGAGCAGTGAAATACAATGCACCTGTAGAGACCACTCTTCAGCCTCAGCTAATCAGAGGAGAAATCAGATTAACCAATGTTGATACATCAAAACCCTCAATATTCTACTGGAGTTTGCCGGCTAGGTAAAATGATGTTTGGATATCAGTCCATTTCTATATGCCATCAACAATATTTTTTTTACAAATACTTGAAACTTTCATGACAGCTGTACTTTAATAATTAAACATTCAAACTTCTTTCATTTTCCAGTTTTGCTGGTGATAAAGTGACAGCATATGGCGGTAATCTAAGCTACACCTTGAACAATGTGCCAAGATATGGATCCAAAAATAATGCTGCGGATGTACAACTTATAAGCGTTAGTTGAATGTTGATTTATTATTTAATGTTGATTTCATCATGGTTTGGTCATCAGGTCAAAAATGGGCATTGTTCTTTAAAAATTGAACACGATTAATAATATAGCTTAGAATATTAAAGATTGTTTCATACTAACACCACTTGATTTTTTTATAGGATGTTACATTCCACTACTTTGGCAACTTTGAATCTAATAGTGATGGTTCACTGTCAGCATCTGTTCAGTTATTAGAAAAAGGATGGCAAAGGTAATTTCATATATCTTCTTATTATATTCCCATTGCATTTTTTTATAATTTCTATTTAATTGAAATAAAGAACTATATTTTTTTTTTCATTAATTAATTAAACTTAATAATAAGTATTCTGTAGATTGCTTTTATGAACAGAAGACTTTCATTAATTGAAGTGCTTATTTGAACTGTATTTTTAATCTAAATGTTTAAACAACTCATGGTAAATAAATGGAACAGATTACTAAGTACTAACTTTAATTATCAATTTTCTTTAGACCTGATGGTAAAGAGGTATCCAGAGAACACTTCCTCTTGGCATTAGCCCATTTAAAGACCATCTTAATAAAGGCGTCGTATAATTCATATGATCTTGCCTCAATCGCTACGGCAAGTATTGATACCGCAGAGGCGAACGGCAATGGTCCACAGGCACTTCACGTTGAACAATGTGTTTGTCCAACTGGCTTCATTGGAACTTCCTGTGAGAACTGTGCACCCGGCTACACTCGGTGAGTAGTCGGAAAGTTTTAATGTTTAATTTTTTTTAAATTAGTTTATAACAATGGTGTTAAGTTAAAATGAAAATACTAGCAGAGCTGTAAGCATTTTATACAATCCTAGAAACCTTGAGCCGAACCATCAGGGCTGTGATTACATTCTGGACATACCGAGTTTTAGACTGGCTAAAACCTATTTATTATATCATATTAATGAAAGTGAAGTCCACTAAGAACTAGGTGTAAGCAATTTCAAACATTTTGTAAAGGCTACCTTAATGGTCAGGGCCGCTTATAATGTTGAAGAATGCATTGAGGGCAAGGATGTGTGGAAATGACTCTTGCTCTGCACTTACCTTTACTGCTGCTGATTTTATACATAAATAATTTTGGCAATTTATTAAAAACAAAAAAAATAAAAAATAACAAGACTACATAATTACTTGCTGGCTCTGCTCTGGACAGGTCTAGTTTAGTGGTTTAGTTTAGTTTGAAGTTCTATAAGAGCTTAAAGTAATTTTTCATTTTGACTTTCATTAATCGCTTTTAAAATGTCACTCTTAATATAGTCGCATACAGATTAAGGTTAATAATAGTTTAGAACAAAACAAAAAAAAAATAAGATTTATAGTTATAGGAAACGATAGTATAAACGACGAAGTATTATTTTGTCTGAGTTGATATTGTCGGTACTTTTTCTTTTTCGCCTGTTCATACAAAAATTGCTTAATAACATTTTATTTCACATGTACATATTAGCATGAAAAAGGTGTTGATTGAAACAAATGCTGACTGATAAATTAACATTTTTTAATTGAACCATATTGTTATTTTTTACTTTTAGGGGCCTAAAGGGCTTGTACTTGAGGACCTGCGAAATTTGTGACTGCAATGGTCACTCAAATATGTGCCACCCGGAGACTGGAGAGTGCTATGTAAGTTGAGAAAAATAACTTAGTTAAGTTAGTTAACTTAGTTTCAACCAGTTGGTTGAAAACGAAGAGAAATATACAATTGTAGCGAAAAATCTTTAAAAATGAAACCTTAAAATATACATGAAGCTATTTATTCTTATAATATAATTCTTTGGCATGTCGTCCTGTGTGTGAGGTGGCCGGAGCCCAATTTTCTAAAGGTTGTCAATGCATCTGGAACCCTCGGGTGTAGTAGATGTCCATGAGCGGCGGTATTCACTTAACATCAGGTGAACCGTCTGCTCGCTTGGCAACTTTGTTTTTTTTATGTGAAAAGTTTTCACATAAAAAGAAAAAATCTATTATCACTTGAACACGTTTACATTGTTATTTCAGGACTGTGCTGACAACACAGCTGGTGTGAACTGCGAATACTGCAAAGACGGTTATTCAAAGGACGAATATGGAAACTGTGTATTTGAATCGACCACACCAGTATTCTGCAAGTGAGTGAAGACTGAAATATATTCAAGTGATATGCTCAAATAAGAATTACAAGATATTTGCCTATAGTATATAAGATTACTAAAACCGGCTGACAGTAAGAGATAGGAAATCTAAATACACTGCAGAATCAAACGCAAGCACAAACAATACAACCTACACTTTAATTTTAATCTGATTATAAAATAATAAAAAAAATATCAGTACAGTTGACATTTACAAAAATTATTACAAACAAGATTTAATGCAACAGTTAATTTTTCATCTGCAATTTTTTATCTATTTCTTTTAATTGTTTTAAATTTGATGAAAGTGACATTTATGTTTCTAATCTAATATATAAAATTCTCGTGTTAAGGTGTTTGTAATGGAACTCCTCCGAAACGGCTCCACCGATTTTCGTGAAATTTTGTGTGCGTATCGGGCAGGATGGAGAATCGGACAACATCTATTTTTCATCCCCCTAAATGTTAAGGGCGGTCCACCCCAAACTTTTTTTTCTACCCTACAAATAATTTATATGGCAAAACAACGGTGCCGGGTTAACTAGTAATATATAAATTTCCTATTTATTAGGGAAAACGAGTTTTTTCATTTACCAGATCATCCATTTTGAAACGGAACCCTATTTCTAAGAATCCGCTGTGTGTCTGTCTGTCTGTCTGTCTGTCTGTCTGTCTGTCTGTCTGTCTGTCTGTCTGTCTTTCTGTCTGTCTTTCTGTGTCCTTCTGTCACCAGGCAGAATGTTTTCCTATTGCCGCCATAACAACAAATGCTAAAAAACAGAATGAAAAAAATATTAAAGTTAAATATTTGCCGTTTTTATAGATAAAATGGTACGGAATCCTTCGTACGCGAGTCCGACTTGCACTTGGCCGCTTGCTTTTTCCATAACAAGTGGTTATATAGGCCCATGAAAAGGCCGAGGTCGAAAAAAAATTTTTTTTTGAAGATATACAGTCCGTTTTCCCTCCCATAGCTGCGATCCCCGCGGCGAGGAGGGGCCGTGCGACAGCTCTGGCTACTGCCGCTGCAAACAGAATGTCGAAGGCACCGCCTGCGACCGCTGCCGCCCTGGTACATTCGGCCTGGACGGCGCCAACCCGCTCGGCTGCCACTCGTGCTACTGCTCCGGCGCCACCACCGACTGCCACGAAGTGAGACCCTCCCCCCCCCCATAACCCTTGTCGGTTGACTCCGTGTTGCAGCTGCTGAGGTACTGGCGTCGGCCAGGTCGTCAGTTCGGTTCCCACACGAGACAACCGCTTGCGCGATATTTGTTTCGGATTTGGGAGTTTGTCCACATGACATTATATATATATATATATATATATATACAGTAAATGGGTAAAGTTTTTGTAGGGAAGACTACAATAGGTCTTTATAGGTCACAGTGTTGGGATTAACTATTTCCTTCCGCACAAGATACAATACAAATGTAACCCTCACGGGGTGAAGACTCAACACAGCTTTGCTTTGAGCATTTGTTTTATACTTGAATCATCATCATCATTTCAGCCTGTTTGAGTCCACTGCTGAACATAGGCCTCCCCCACAGAATGCCACGAAGCACGATCCTGTGCCATCTGCATTCATCAACTTCCATTTGCACATATGCTTGAATAAGTTCTTTTATAATTGTATCATGAAAAAAAAAAAGAGAGAAAACGGGACGGGTGAAAAGTTTTTTACCGGTTCATCTCTGGCCGGGTCCTCATCAATAGGAGCTTAAATTAAGCCTACATTGAATAAATACATTTTGACTTTTACGTGTATTTATTACGGTCAAATTGTCTCAACAAGGGGCACATTTTAATAGCAGTTCCGATGGTGAAAATGTGCATCGAAATGAAATCACACACGTGAACGCGACAAACTTTTGCAGGCGACGCACTACTCGAGGATCGCGATGGCCGCGCCCATATTCGGCGAGAACAACGGCGGCTACAGTCTGATGGACCTCTACGCTTCCGAGGTCATCAACGACCAGTTCGTGCCCGTTCCCAACGAGAGCCAGCTGATGTACGTGTTCTCGTCGAGGCCCGACAAGGAGCTCTACTGGTCCCTGCCCGTCTTCCCAGGTGAGGGGCTCGATGTTGTCCAGACCTAGCGATTCATGGTCAATATTGTACGTCATCGTCATCATTTCAGCCAGTTTGAGTCCACTTCTGGACGTAGGGCTGCCACAGACTGCCACGAAGCGCGACCCTGAGCCATCTGCATGCATCGACATGTTGCACAAGCCGTTATTAGAACCTATCTATCTAAAGTGTTCATATATCACAGTCCCGCTTAATGGCCTGTTTTTGAGTTATAAAACTACATTGAGTGGACAAAGCTAGAAGAATGCAAAAGCGATTTTTCACTAACCGTCTTCTGTAAGTCCGGGCTAGCTCTGTAGAACGATCGTCGAGTAAGACCTATGCAAGAAAAAGAAAGCCCTTATAATAGTGACAGTGTTCAGTAATAACTGTGACAAGGTGTCACAGTTAAGGCCCATTTACATGGTGCCAGTTTCTTGCCTGTTGTATACAATTAAATTGAAGCAATAAATGAGTTGCATGGTCTAAGCAACAAATGGTCTAAACAATTATTGCGCGCAATTTATTGCATTCAATTATTGCTCTTGTATGTTCAAGAAAATGGCATCGTGTAAATGGGCCTTAATTATCACTCTCTAACTAAGGTAGCAGCCGTAAGCATGAATAAAGAAAAGCTTGTGACAGCGTGTTAAGTGTAAAGCTTGTGTGGCACAGGATCTGATTTAACAGGTACAGTCTGTTATCTCGATTTTCAAAAGGCCGTCAGCGCATCTGCAAACCCTCGGCGGCGGTATTCACTCAACATCAGGTGACCCACCCGATCGCCTGACATAGAAAAAATGAAACACCCTCAATATTTACCTGTTACGATAAATACCAGGGTTAATCCTAAGTGTGTCCCGTTCCGCAGGCAACAGGGTTCTCTCGTACGGCGGCACGTTGTCGCTCACCCAGAGATTCGAGACCGGCGGTGTGCCCGAACAGGCGAACGCCGTGATCATCCTGGCTGGCGAGGGCAGATCCGTATCCTGGACGAGCCCCAACCCGCTGCGATCCGGCGAGGCATTGGTGAGTGGCGGCGTACGAACATGTCGGGACTTTAAAATATGTAGAAAAAGTGCGAAAAGATTGTCGCCGCTGTGGGAATTGAACCCACGCCTTCGGCGCTCGCGGCCTGACGCTTTAGCCACTAAGCTAAACGGCTGATTGCCACACTGACGAAAATCTTAACGTCTTTTATCTACATTGTTTTTTTAGCATTTGACAATCTTTTCGTACTTTCTCCGCATATTTTAGTGTTCAATCTTAAGTGCAAAGATTAGCACTATAAACAATTTTAAAAAATGTTGGGACTTGTCAAGTGATAACGCTGGAACATCTCAGTGGGGACCGATGTAACCAAACTAATCTCTGTTTACTAATTCATCTCGGTCCTCTGACGGTGACCACATTTGATTACTTCATCTCATATAAGGCTTCAGTTATTCGAATATTATTTATCTAAGTACATGCCTTGAAATGTTATATTAAACATGATATATTGGAACTAAAGTAATGTGTTGGAACAATGTCATTAAGTAATCTCCGCTGTGGGCTTTCTCCGTTGCCCAAACTGTTTGGCTTTCAAATTATTGTTAGCTCATTAGATGTTAAGTTTCTTTATGCACTGGCGCATGTAACAAGTACATTTGTAAAACAAACCGACTTGATATATTCCATTTGATTTGAGGATCCCCGATGTATTTCCGTAGTCCAAGGTCAAATCTCAATGAAATCAATATATGATCACATGCAAGCTAAACCAAACCCAAAGCCAAAGTATTTATTAAAATCGTTTCACGAATGACTTAGTTCTGAGGTAACAGACATAAAAAATATACAACCGAATTGAGAACCGGCTACTTTTTCGAAGTAGATTAAAAATAGTGAAACTTCTATTGGTTTTCTTTAAATGACGTATGGCCGAGGTTCAGGCTAGGCGCCCCGTGCATTGCCGTGCATTGCCAGTCTCATGTCCAACGGTGGCTCATCGAGCCCAAAAAGAAGAACGTCGTTATATTGTCGCCGTTTGTATGTTCGCAGAGCTTCCAAGTGCCGCTGCGGGAGGAGGGCTGGTACATACTGAACACGCCGCAGCCCGCCAGCCGCGAGGACCTCATGCACGTGCTGAGGGACCTCAAGCGGGTGCTGGTCAAGGCGACCCTATCGCCCAACGTCATCACGTCCGCCATCGCCGACGTGTCGATGGACACGGCCACGGAGATCTACAGCACCGGCTCGCCCGCCGCCAAAGGAGTCGAGGTGGGTGCACGCGATCCGAGGGCCTATAGCTCGGAATGCCCTCGAGATTCGATTTCAAAATATCTCTATTCACACAGACGCCAGCGCGTTCTTATGCAACGTCAATGTTTTTACATAAAAAATTTACGCGTTCGTAACTCGCCATCGCTTCGGAAAGCAGTTTCTGTTGAGAAGCCGACGAGATACTCGACAGTTGCTCCCTTTTATAGCGGCTAGTCTACAATACGTTTGGTGCTCTTTCCGATTAAAAGTAAAAAAAGTAATGTAACAGCCGATACATGTCCACCGCGCCGCCCCGCTGCGGATTGGCGGACTTCTCGTAGATTCGAAAAAAAAAATTATTACTATCATTTTGAAAATATGCAGGTTTCCTCACGATGTTCTCCTTCACCAAATATATAAAATTAACAATTACATTGGTGCGCCGCCACCGGGCCGAATTCAGGCTGCTCGACTAAATTGAGTTTGAAGCGCGCGCCCGCCCAGCTGTAACGGCTTTCTTTCCAATCTATTTAATATAATACCAATTGTCCATAGATTCTCATGAAACGTAACTAGCAATTGACTGCGAAATCTCTGTTGTGTTAAACTGTAAATAGTGATCCGTTTAAACCTTCACGTGCCAATATCGTCTGTTGTGCACCACCGTTATAAATTGACTGCCCGAAGCTATGGTCTCTCGGGCTACGGTCCTGGTTGATGCCGTGCATGTCGATACCAGGTCTGCATGTGCCCGGAGGGCTATTCGGGCACCAGCTGCGAGACCTGCCTCGCCGGGTACTACAGGGACCGCAGCGGCCTCTGCAGGAAATGCAACTGCAACGGCCACGACTGCCAGCTCAGCGTCTACGGCGAGGTGGTGTGCAACTGCCGCCCGCCCAACACCGGGCCCGACTGCTCCACAGTCGGTGAGCTATCCTCGTCTCCGATCTTTAGATGCTTTCAGGGATAGCGTGGTATTGGCCCCAACCAAGCTGAGCTGGTGCCGTGAGCACTAACTTCTCTTTAATAAATTACTAAATTTTTTTTCTTATTACTTTTTTAAAACATTACCCTTCCTGTACTGGATAACTTTATCCTGTATGGACATGTTACAAACACTGATTCCACGCGGACAAACACCCAGATCCGAAACATCTCGTGCGGGAATCGAACCGGAGCCACTGCGGAGAAACTCGAAAACACCCGGAACGTTATTTTCACAATGGCGGAGGACGAACGCACGCCCTCTGCCGTATGTGGCAGGTGCTAACCAATCGGGGGGTCGCCTACGTTTGCAACGAAGATCCGTTCTAATCTACGTCTCGTCCACGTTTCGCCCGCGAATAGGCCTGGTGATGGAGCTGCACCCGAAGATCGGAGAGAGCGAGGGCGGCTCGCCGCTTCGCCCGGTCACGTTCGTGTGCAGGTATAGGGCGCCGGAGCCGCTCACGATCGAGTTCCGCTCGGAGGGGCGCGAGCCGCCGCCCCCTAGTCGGCACAGCGAGTCGCGCCCCCTAGAGGGCGTCTGGAGCGGCGAGCACAGCTGGAGCACCCTGTGGGACACCCGGCGGCAGGGCGAAGTGTTCGAGTGCCGCACGATCACCGAGAGGGGTTTCACGCTCGGCGTACTCACCACCACGCTGCCGGAGAAAGGTAGCGGTCGCGCCACTTCCGGCGGCGTCGCTTCCGCCGGCGGCAGCTTCCGTTGCGGTCCCGCCGGATGCGGTCGATGTGTTGTACCGTCCGCCGTGTGCTGTACTTGTCCGTCGGATGTCGTCCCTTCTTTGTGTTGTTCCGTCGGCCTGTCGCAGCCGTTTGTCGTTGTCGTCCCGGAAGCTGTGTCGTCCGCTCTTTGTGTATTTGTTCACTATGTCTATCCGTCCGTCGTCATTTCCGTTCGAATCGCTTAATTTTGATTTTGTAATTGGTTCCGAATTTAATTGTGACAGTTTTCACATCATGTGTATCGTAAACCCGCAGTCCAGTGTGGTAATCGATTTCCCGAGCTAGGTCATTGACCACGTGCACCGCATTCCAGCCGGTGAGCCGATTGTGGACGAGACCACTCTGCCGCCGCCGCCCCAGAGCACGATCTCCGTCAGGATCGCTGGCCCCACCATCAAGATCCAGGAGGTTGGCAGCACGGTGAACTTCACCTGCGAAGCTCGCAGCCGCTTCTCGCCCAACGTGTTGCCGGTGAACTGGACCAAGGAGGACGGCTACCTGCCGCTGGAGAGGACCTACATCGACTCCAGCACTGGGGGCTTGTTCATTATGAACCTCCAGATCTCGGACAGCGGGAAGTACATCTGCCAGACCACCGACGGGATGTCGACGGGACAGGCGATCGCCACCCTCAAGGTGCCAGGTGAGTGATGTGTATCAAGGTGGGCTTCCAAAGGGATCTTGTCCGCTAACAGAGTGACGGGTTAGTGTGGGATTTGAACCCACTAAAACAGCCCACGGCTGTTACCCTCTTTGCACACAAAGAGACACGGGAGGCCGAAACGGACGAATATATCAGTAAACCGCGAACGTCTAATACCTCATGTGCATCACCAAAGTGTATGATATATATACACTTTGGTGATGTGTAATTCTGTCTTTATTGCAATACACGTGTACTTTGTTTTGAAGTAGTGTATAACTCTTGTTTAACCCAACTCAATTGCATATATCAAAAGTTATAAATGATTAATATACTATAAAGAAGGAAGAAGAGATTTGACGCTATGCTTTTGTATTTACGCTATTGTGTTATTGCAAATTAAAAACCGTTTGAATTTCAATGCAATCATTCTCGGAACAGTCGTCCCGGATTGGGTTTTCTACGCAAAAGGTATTAAGCTTCATTTTTTTATGTACTATTTTTACTCACTGTAGTGAATAGTCTGGATAGATCTATAAAGTAAATGTCCACTGCATGGAACAAAAGACATATTTTGACAGGCATCCTATACAGGTGGATAGTAAAAATGAAACAACTCAATAAATTTGAATGTATGGAAAATTGAGCCTCGTGGTATATACCTACTTTAAACATGTAGATGCCAAATGAAATAAGTTAATGATAATGCATATGGCCCAAATGCCCGATTTTTGCCTGCTTCGATTTTGAATAGGCTGTTCGTTCTCATCAAAATCAAAAAGTCAATAATTTTAATCAATCTAAGAAACATATATAGTATGATAGTATATTTTTTTAATCTACCGACGTTTCGTAAAGATCACCCCTTTTTGCTGCGATATACAATATATTCGAACGCCCGTGAAACGGAACGCGGCTTGAAAAATATCCATTGCGCCCGTGGAACGGAACGCGTTAACGCCTCGGGCCGTTGCCAGGCAACGAGATGACGCTGCCGACGGTGAGCATCCGGCCGACGGTGAACGATTACTACGAGGGCGACAGGATCGAGCTCGAGTGCCAGGCCACCGGCATCCCGGCGCCCAGGATCACCTGGCAGCGTGCCTCCAACCGCCCCCTGCCCAGGGCCTCCCGCTACGACACCTACTTCGTGATAGACAGCGCCATCGAGGAAGACTCCGGCGAATACAGGTACGGTACCCTTGACGGTGACCACACGATTCGTCTTTCATTCGTAATCTTTGTGCCGAATGAATTTGATATGGACACACATTCTGTGTTCACTCAACATATCGCAATTCAGCCTTTCGCACCACAAGCTACCCAGCAAGGCGCACGATACTTTATTCAACGACGTATTGAAAGAAAACAGTTTGTGAATATTATTAATTATAGAAAATATATCATTCCGTATAGTCCGAACATCGATTCGATGGAAAATTATGCGTTCACTAAGCGTAAGCGTCGACTTTATTCGAATATAAATAACCTAATGAATATTGCGAGATTTTGATTGAGCCCCCAAAGTTTGCGAGACGCTGCTATATCAGTTTATCCACCGGGTGTTGCCATTAAAAACCCCGTGCGCAGGTGCATCGCAACGAACGCGGCCGGCTCGACGGACCGCTCGGCGGTGGTGACCGTCCGCGCGCGGCCGTCGCGGCCCCCCCGCGACCGCCTCACGGTGTCCGCGGGCGCGGTGAACGTGACCGAGGGCCAGAGCGCGCGCGTCGTTTGCACCGCCACGGCGAGCGTGCCCGCCGGCTCGATACAGTGGATCAGGTGAGTGGCGCGACGGTGTGCAGCGCGCCCGCCCTTACCCCCGCCCCCCCTGACATACACACACACACACACACACACACACACACACGTATACTCAGTATGTCACGTTGCGCTGTAAGCGAGAGGAATGCCCCAGCCGCGACGATGTGAAGCGCGCCCGCCATCCCCCCTCTACCTCCTCCCCCTGACTCACGCACGCACACATACATGCATTATGTCACGTTACGCTGCAGATGAGAGGAGTGTGCCCGCGGTGATAGTGTGTTCCCTCCCACCTCAGTAGCCCTGACCCCTCCTGCCTTGTTACACACACACTCATACACGAATATATCGCGTTAGTAATAAGAGAAGAATAATATGTCTATTCTATGCATGTCACTGAGTAGTGCATGAGACGCTCGGCGTGCACGTGGACGTCCAACGTTTCGACCGAATGTGGAGCAAGATTTATGTTAACCATTTGTATTATTTACATCCGTAACAGTAACAGTAATATCTTACGTTCCAACTCGTAGGCAAGACGGCGTCGATTTGCCGGCCAACGTGCGCTCCGACAACGGGGTTCTGTACATCGAGTACGCGACCCCTGACGACCAGGGGGTGTACCTGTGCCGCACGCCCATCACCGAGATAGCTCCCGTGCCCGTGGTGGTAACCGTGCTCCTGATCAGCACCCCCGCGCCAGGGGAACTGTCCAACATCAGTGTCACCGTCAATCAGCTGAAGGTGCCCACCGGCGGCAGCGGCTCCGTGGACTGCAGCCCCTTGGGCAACCCCCTGCCGATGATACGCTGGATCAAAGTGAGTTCCTCTGCACTTTTAGTAGTAGGGAAACGGACGTTTATTTTTTAAAGAAGGTATGTTTGAAATAAGCAGCCACTTATTGCAATTACATCATTTCCCCCTTTGGGGAAAATATCCCAATATTAAAAAAAAATACTAAACGTCTAAAAGTTATGTCCAAAACTCTCCAAATCCCATAGTTTCACATTTCAAAGAGTTCCGCCTTAAATGTGTTATGCTACTCATGTGATATAAAGAAAAGCTAGATACATCGAAAAATGTCAAAAACAAGCGGGACACATCCCTCGATAATAGCGATATGCGTCGCCTGACACGGGTCATGACCCACACATATAGTATGGGTCATGACCCGTGTCACGACACGAACCTTGCGCCCCGCAGTACGACGGCAGCTTCGGCGCCGGCGTGAGCCAACGGGACAACTCCCTGCTGATATCCAACGCGCAGGAGAGCGACCAGGGGTACTACATGTGCGAGGGCACGGTCGCCGGGGCGCCCGTAGCCAACCTATACGTGTACGTCGAGGTCGAAAGTGAGTAAAATCTTATACCTCTTTAGGCGTGTTAACGCCTGTCGCAATTTAGTAGCAAACTTACGCGCATTAGAATAATTGCAATTTTATGTAATGTAAATTGATGTTATGTTTTTCCCGTCTGCCGACCTATGTTAGTTGGCTTCATTACGCTCTCGCAATATACGCTTTCACCGCGTTAAACTTTTATTTCTTAAATTCCGGCAATTTTCCACACAAGGCGTGTTATGAAAAAGTGATGAGGGTGAAATTTCAAGATGTAACACTAACGTCACACCTTTGAAGCTGCCCGCTAATTTTTACAGATGGCAGCATATTCTCAACCAAATTCGTCCGTTGCAGTTCTCAATGAAGACTTTAGATGGTTTTCATGATTAAACTCTACTTTTGAACATTTGTATGTCACATCTAATCGAGTTCACTGTTTTGTCAAGGTCAGTTTATGAAACGGTGTTATTATTCGACTTGTTTTTCTTTTGTTACAACTGAGCAGTATAACTTCTTTCGTGCGTACATAAGTACACACATTTTTTTTTATTTGGCCGGATGAAACCACTGCAAACGACGCGCCGCATGCCTTACCGCGAACGGATTGGCCTTCGTTGGGTGGGCCTACGTCACTCTGCCTTAATCGACGCCCATTCGATTCTCGCAGAGCGCGAGAAGCCGCGCGTGGAGATCTGGCCCCAGGGCGAGCAGGCGGTGGCGCTCGGCAGCCGCTACGAGCTGGTGTGCCGGATCCTCGCCGGATACCCGGAGCCGGTTGTGCTGTGGGAGAGGGGCGGCGGTCGCTCACTGTCGCAGCACGCCCAGTTGCAACCCAACCACGTGCTCAGGTAACACCACAGGAAAAAATGTGAGCCGTCACGGGACGCCTGGCAGATGTGAAACATCGACTTTATTTTGTAAAAGTAATATGCACAAAAGAACAGATTGTGGTAGGAACTAAATATGTCATAATGATAAAATAAAACATTACGATTTTTTTTCCAGATAACGACTATTTATTGAATAAACATTTATTTTCATTTAATACAAAAAATTACGAATTTATTTCGAAATCGTGACTACTTAGCCACACCATACACACTACTGCATATAGACTGGATATATATACCCTCATATAGCGTGGCGATGCGTCGCCATACGCCAGAAATGCTGTTTCGCGTGCGGCTAGATGTTTCACATCAAAAAACCTTTTCGTACTTTTCTTCCACACATAACACTTTGTGGAAGGCGAGTGTAGTCTCGCGTCAAACGCACCTCGGCACCGAACCTAACCGTCGCCGGCAGCTTCGAGACGATCGAGGTGAACGACGAGGGCGAGTACACCTGCTCGGCGAGCAACGAGGCGGGCGCGGACGAGGCGAGCGCCGTGCTCAAGGTGCGCTCCCCGCCCGTGATCACCATCACGCCGAGCAACTTCGTGCAGGTGGTGAGCGGCGACCCCGTCACCGTCGAGTGCCGCGCCAACGGCTACCCGGAGCCGATGGTCTCCATACAGAGTGAGTGCGAAGCGTGTGCTGACTTTGTCAGTGTCCAAGTCGAAGTTTTGTTTATTCATCATATACGAGTACTTGCTTTTCGCCCGCTCGCGTTGGAGCCCTTACATAAATATATTTCCCCCCTTAAGAACCCTTCGTTTCTTTTCCAATTAAAAAAAATTGCCTATGTCCTTTCTCAGGCTCTAGAATGTCTGTGTACCAATTTTTTTTTCAAATCGGTTCAGTAGTTTTGGCGTGAAAGCGAAACAGACAGACAGAACTACTTCGCATTTATAATATTAGTATGGATAGCCTTCTTCATTTGAGTTCTTATTGAACGTCAGGTAGTACCATAGATATTCCTAAGTCAAAGAAATATTTTTTATTCCATCTACCAAGAGATTAGGCCCCGTTGCATGGTTAAAGTTATAATATATATATGTATAGGTTATTCTAGACTTACTGAAGTGTAGAAACATAAAAATTTGTAGAAGCAAGGAAGAAAAGTGTTCGCCGCTACGGGAATCGAACCCGCCTCTTCCAAGTTTTTCCTCTTCCTCTTCGTATTTTTTTTAATTTTAATAATCTACACTTAGATGATATTAAAATTTGTAGAAAAATATACACGTTGAAAAATTGTGTTTAAACTGAAAGTTTCATCTCGAGTGCAGTGATTAGTACTGTTTAATATTGTACAATACCGCACCGTCATTGCGAACCCCAAAATCCAAAGTCGATCACAACCCTCCTACTGACCGGCTACGTCGCCCTACGCCCCGTAGCGAGCCCCGAGATGCGCGTAGTGGTGCCGCCGGCGCGGAGCTACGCCGCGCTACGGATCCCGTCGGCGGGCGATAGGGACGACCGCGACTACGTCTGCACCGCGACATCCGCCGCGGGCACCATCAACGAGCAGTTCGTGGTGCGCGTGGAGCGCGGCGACGGCGGATTCGGGGACGTCGGTAAGTGTACGCGCAACGGCCTCCGCTGTTACAAGAATGGGCAGGGCCAATTCTGTTGTTAGAACTGGCAGGGCCTCTAATGTTGCCAGAATGGGTAGGGCCTCCGCTGTCGCCAGAACGAGCGGGGCCTCTGCTGTTACCAGAATGGGCTGGGCCAATTCTGTTGTTAGAATGGGCAGGGCCTCGTCCGGGGAAGCACCGCGTCCTCTCAGAACACTTTGGTCAGTGTGCATTGGAATTGCATGACCTGATTCTTCCGAGCGAGTTTACCGACGTCCGACTTTTTTAAAGACCGTCAACGTAACTTAAGCTCTCGGCTGTTGCAGATGTCCATGGCGGTCTTCACACCAGGAATTTACCATCAGGAAGACCGCCCGCTAGTTTGACAATTTTTACACATAAAAAAATCTGGAGCTTATACCCTCCAACGCTCTCATTCTCACAAACCATATCTTGTCGCCCACTCCCCTCATTTTCTTCATGTATTTCGTCCTCCTCAATCCTTGTTATCACTTCGCAGTTTCATTTGCCGCTCTCGTTCCGCCCTACCATTTCGCCCCACGCTCCCCCATTCATCTTATGACTTTAACGAGAACTCCCGGATCGTATTGTAACGATTTCCCGATCTCACAGAGGGCAGCGGCGATCCAGGCCTGAACGTGGACGAGAATTACGACTATGACAACAACAGGCCTTCAAACAGCATCGCCATCGAGGGCAGGGACGCGACAATCAGGTGCGTCTTCAAAAATGGACTCTATCGTGTACAAAATACTGCCGACTATGCTTAAAACTCACTTAAGTTGACACGTAGTTCATCGTGTTGAAATAAAGTTAATAAGTTAATAAGTAAGCTTCATGCTTATGTATTTAATTCTATATTTGAATTTGATTTTTAATAAAAACCTCTACATATTAAATGTGTAGTATCGTTAGGAATTAGGTGGTTCATAAAGATCATGCAATAAAATTAGGCTGCAATTGAAACATGTCTATTTTTGTAAAGTGATATGTTTGCCAATTCATATTACTTTAGAAGAATTGTCAAGAGGGGTAGAACTGTTCTCTAATCTAAATGAGTAAAGTAGAGTGCCGAAAACATACATACATCTGTACTCATGATCTGTTAAAATATATAAATCGGTTAATCTTTGCGAACCGACCATGGAAATACATTGATGTTAGCTTTTAACAAGCTTAACAAGATTAATTGAGACTTTCACTTTCACTTTGACTTCGACAGCTGCAACGCGTCCACCGAGTACCAGGTGCAATGGCGGAAGGTGAACGGTCGACCGATGGGCTACAACGTGGTCGAAAGGGGCTCAGAGCTCATAATCAGAAATGTAAGTAGTGCGTACTACGCTCTGTGATCGTCACAGGATGCAAAGGGGGTCTCTCTTTGTCTCCATTTGGAACGAAATGCTAATTTTCTGAGCCGTGATAGCTGTGTCCGGGCGCTAGCCTTTAATTCGATATACTCGAGCAACCTGAGTTCGATCCCCTATGCGGAATTAAATTGATAATTTTAAGTGCTCACTTTACAGTTAAAAGTATAGATGTGTAGAAATATAGATATATCGATGTTTAAAGAGTGGTAGGGCCACGCAGCGGCCTCGGCGGTTGCACGAATGGGCAGGCTCGTCCGGGTAAGTATCACGACTTCGCATAAGACCGGCGTGAAGAAAAAGTGTTACATTTACAGTATAATACTTTCGCTTTTCGTCTGGTGAGTGAGGTACCCGGAGCCCAATTTTCAAAAGGTTGTAAACGCATCTGCAACCCTCGGGTGTAGCAGATGTTCATTGGCGGCGTTATTCACTTAACATCAGGTGAAACGCCTGCTCGCTTGGCAAGTTTACATAAAAAAAAAACACGCGCTCAGCGGCGAGGGGAAACGTCGCGAGGCGACCTGCACATTTTCGAAACGTGCAAATGTATTCCGAAATGCACTGGGATCCCGTGGTGGACCGTGCCCTACTAACCGCCGTACGTCGGAGGCCCTTGCCCAGCGGTGGGACGCGTGCCCAGCTGGTGCCAAACAGAGCTCTCTGTCCCGCCCAGGCGTCGAAGTCGGACTCGGGCGTGTACGAGTGCGTGCTGGTGAACCGCTACACGGGCGAGGCGCAGCACGCGACGGCGATCAACCTGGCGGTGGTGGCGCCGCCGACGATCACCCTGCGGCCGCTCACGCAGACCGTGCAGCCCGGACAGTCGCCGACGGTGGAGTGCGTGGTGAACGGCGACGACATACAGGACATCCTGTGGAGGCCGGTCGAACGGCAGCCCTCCAGGTGAGCCGCCGCCGCGCACGCACCGGCTCGGAAGGGCGTCGATGTATCGCTGCAAAATGTTCGACGCCGAAAATCGTAGCAAAAACGATTTGTTTCTTTTTTTTTTTTTTTTTTCAAACCGAATGACTTTTTAGGTTTCATGTAAAAGTTGTGATCTCGAATGTAATTTGCTTGAATACCCATCATATCTCACATATGAGCACAATAGAAATCTATTAAGTGTCCATGAATTTTTTTATTATTATCATGCGGAAAGTAGGAGGCCAACATAATATGTCACCACATCATATTCAGTACCTACACATAACGAGCGTTGAATGGTCTAATATTAATTCTTATTAAATTTATTTCGCTACACTTCATTCATTCATCAATCATTCATTGTTTGTCCGCAGCCGCGTCGAGATCCGCGGCTCCACGCTGATATTCCACCAGATCGAGGTCGAGGACGCCGGCCAGTACGAGTGCTTGGCGAGGAACGCGATAGCGAACGCGTCCGCCGTCGCCGAGGTGATCGTCAGCGGTAAGTCGGCGCACCGCCCCCACCCCCACCCCCCCCACCCCCACCACCACCACCACCTACGGCCTGGACACAGCTTGACCGGGGCCCGCCACCGGCGCACAATCGGACAACGCTCGCACAGCCGGCACCGCCCGTAGTCGAGCGCCGGACCGGACAGTCGGGCCGCCCGTTCCGGACATTCCGGAACGTGCCGGGGCGTCGCCGGCCGCCGACCGTCCGCTCCGGCGGCCCCGGCCGCACGTGCCGCGCTTCGTGCACGTACTCACCGTGCGCTTTTGTTGTGCATGTCACGTTGACACCCCATAGAGGAGAGCGGCGGCGCGTCGACGGAGTCGCACGATAACGAGCAGACCGCCCGCGCGGGCGCCGCCGTCCACCTGAGCTGCAACGTCACCCAGCCGGGGCTGCGCATCAGGTGGACCAAGGACGGCAGCGCGCTGCCGAAGACGACCACGCAGCGGATCGATGGCTCCCTGTACATACGGCTCGCGCGCAAATCCGACAGCGGACGCTATATCTGCATCATATACGATCAGTACGGCAGGCAGACTAGCAATTACATCAACCTGCACATCGAGGGTCAGTCGTAGTTAAGGAAGGAATGCGTAGTTGCGGCTTGGGCGAGCGTTGCCACCCCGTCCCGACCTACCGCCCCCTACTTTTGCCACACGGCCTTCTTCGCCTATGCCCCCCCTCACCTCACCCCACCCCACCCCGCCCCGCCCCGCCGGTCCGCCGCGTCCCCATTGCTTGAGCCGCGGGTAATTCGGACACGCTTCGCCTCGCTCTGCCACTACATCCTCTGTGCTCGGCCATCTCTATCTGTCTCTACCGTTGCGCTGGCTTAGTTCTCACACGTTGTTGTTTGTTGTTGTTGTTGTTGTTGTTTTTGTTCTTGTTGTTGTTGTTGTAATTAGATTTGACCGTTTCGTTGTTCCGCTCGACGCTCAATATGTTCTGCCCCGCGCCCCAAGGTGATGAGTGCTCGCGCACGCAATTCCGTTGCTACGACGACACGGGATGCGTGGACGAGAAGCTCCTGTGTGACGGGTACAGCGATTGTCGCGACTCTAGCGACGAGGAGAACTGCCTCTTGAAGGACGACCGGCTCCCGGACATGCCTACGGACAGTCGCACCAGCGCCCCCGGTAATTGACTGTGTGGGCCGGTCTCAATGTTCGGGTCCTTGTCTCGTGTCCTTGTATGGATTTTGGGGTGGAAATAACGACTGTGGCGTCTGAACTTTACTCTATAGCTCGAATAACGACGGATTTAAGGAGTTTTGCTATTTAAATGTTGATTGCTTGGAGTTCGCCTCCGGTCTAACGGACATTCACCGTGCGGTCTAAATGTTTTGTTGTATTGATTTCAATACTTGTGTTTGTACTTTGGGTCATTTTGTGTTTTGTCTTAATCACAACTCGCGGTAAGGAAACTTTGTCGTCTATGTTGTAACAAAATGGCTTTTTAAATGATCAGTTCGAAAATGGCCACATATAAAGATACACCAGAGAGGATATATTTCCGTAATGGACACAAAGTTTTTCTTCACAGAGTTTTCGGGTTTGCGGTGCCGTTTACACTACATTTGTACTCTGTTGTTGTTATAGCACAATTATTATATTGTATCTGGGATACAGCATGTAACATACATATATGTAATCTTGTTCACAGGGCTCATTGGTGCTTGCATGTTCCGCTTTTGTAGTGTCCTATATTCATGATGTTTGCGGACATTGTGTATTGTCCGTATACGTTAAACGTGGTCACTCTGGTTTAATATCCACACCTCCGTTCGATTGTCTAAATTATTTGCGAATACGGTTCCAGGGCCACGATACGAAGCTCAGCAGTTAGTGTCCATTGAGCAACCGCGAAGGCAATACAGGGTCGGCGAGAACGTCAAGGTCGCCTGCAAGAGGGGCTCCAAGAACATCAGGGTGACATGGGAGCGATACGGCACCAACCAATACGTCGACTCGATTGTGAGTAGCTTATCCTGATATTCAATATGAACTCCGGAATAGTGGGATGCGAATCTCTATTACATTTTTTTTTATTTTTTTTTTCATTACTTTTGCATTTATATTTATAGTGTAGTGTATAAGCAGAAGGAGCGATGAGGTCGCCTTTACAACTTCTGAATAACTGGTGGACGATAGTACACATTGTCGCTTTACATAAGGACGAATTGCTCGTGAGAGGATTTATTTTTCTTTTAAAAAAAAAACATTCTGAGCCCTCACTTTAGGATAAAATTATCTATATTGTAAGGGCTTTTAACATACATAAATTTCACGTGGCCAATCAGCCACCAGATTCGAAATTACCTGTGGGTCGCACAAATAGCTGTCTCGAGTGGGAATCTAACCCACGACCCCCGGCGCCGAGGGCAATGCCTTGGGAACTATGCGAAAAAAAACGTGCTCTAGACAGTGCAACGCTCAACTATTGCCAATGTTTACGAGCGTTATATTTAAGTACATGTAATTAGAACAGCCTTTGGAGGGGAGGCGGGGGAGTCCCAACGATGTATACAGATCGTTTTTAGGACAAATGTTACATAAAGTTCTCTAGTCCCAAACTAAGCAACGTACTACTTGATGCAAAGGTAGCTACTGACTAGCTATCTAATCGAACGATCGTTGTTTGCCCCCACAGGAATACGGCGACGGTTCCCTAATGGTGGTGGAGGGTGTTGAGGAGTCGGACGCGGGGCTTTACAGGTGCACGGGGATCGACAGCTACGGCAGGAGCTACTACGACGACTTCCAGCTGGAGGTGGTACCAGGTGAGGAACGGTCAATAGTAGAGTGACAACCCATATATGTCCCACTGCAAGGGCTGCTGCTGGGCAAAGGCCTTCCGGACAGAGGGAATTGGGGCATAGTCCACCACGCGACCCCACTGCGGATTGGCGGACTTAACATATTTTCGAAATATTACTGCTTTTTGTTATTATTTTGAAAGTATGCTGGTGTCCTCACGGTGTTAAATAAAAGTCGGCATTTAAAATTAACAATTTCATTGGTGCTACCACATTTGGGATCGAACTCAGATTGCTCGAGTGCAAAGCGAGCGCCCATAGCCATAGAGCTGTCACGGTTCAGTCAATAGACGCATGTGGACATGCGTCTATTGACTGAACCATCTTACGTATACTTAGTTAGAGTATATCAACCTTTTGGAAGTGCTGCCGTTCCACAAGCAAACGTCCGTGATGAATGGCAGACGCTTCAATCATCAATGAAAAATCTCAAAAAGACAGATCATAATGCAATCGAATCATGTCCAGCCATGTCTGCCTACTTTTATCTCCTAACCTGAGTTGAGTGTGACGTCAATCAGCCCCTTAGTAGTATTAAACGCATTCAATAGCGGCCAATTGCCACCGCCCGATATTCATCCATGTTTTGTACACACAATTTTGATAGACGCAAAAAACTTGTCGTTGTACTTGATTTAACATGAGGATCATTGTTTAAAAGAGTTTCACGCCGATCCTCCTATAGAGCGTCGTAAAACTCTACCACGGAGAACGGATCGGTCAGAGCTCATGGAGTTCTACACAGGAGTGTCCTGGAAACGGAGTGGGGTGACGTGACGTGTTTCCTTGTTTGGCACTTAGGGTCAAACAACCCCCCGTACCCCATCGAGGACCAGCCGCAGGCGTACACCGCCCGCCTGCGCGACTTCATCAGCCTCCCGTGCAACCACAACCTGGAGCAGCCGGTCTCGATCGAGTGGAGCAAGGAGTACTTGCAGCTGCCCCCTAACGTGCGCGTGAACGATGTGAGTACAAACCCTCGCAGTCCCCACGACCTCACGGAAGCCAGCGTAAACTAGTAGTTTTATACTACTGCGTTTCGTCTGGCGAGCGGGGTAGCCGGGGCCCGCTTTATTTAAAGGTGGCAACGCATCTGCAACTCTACGGGTGTTCGCAATATCAATTTGCGGCTGTTATCACTTAACATCAGGTGGATCGCGAGCTCGCTTATGTCCTCCTATATTCAGATGCTAGAAAAAAGCTCGTAGCCGCACCTCTGTTTTGTCTCTGGCTGTCGAAGCTGGCCTTTCTGCCGTTTTTGTGGTCGATGAAACTTCAATTAATCACCAAAACCGAGGTCGACACGCATCCTGACCCGTATTCGCTTTAACTTTGACCATGAACCCAACCTTGATCAATCAACAAATAACCTTTTTGAATTTGACGACAGATCTTCCAAGTCGCAGTAGACATTACTTACATTAATTAGCTACTAACTAACCAAACGCTTCCATCATCAACCCAATCGTCACTTCGACCAAGTCAGCCGGCGCTGCACCGTACGCTGCCGTCCAGGCTCCATCGTTCGTCACCGCTTCGAGCCCAAGCGTGTGCCGGTTGCTTTTCCCTCTGAACTTCGGCCGGCTGACTTGGGCAACATCAAGTAGAGAGCCCAAACGCATTTGTGACTCGCTCCGTAGTAGCGAGCACCCAGATGGTGGTGTTCCTTGGCGTCCGTTTCCGTAATTACAATGCCTCCCCCCCCCCCCCCCCCCCCCCCTCCCTGCCACAGCCGGTGCTGAACCTGGACAGCGTGTCGGAGTCCGACGCCGGCACGTACGTGTGCCGAGTGAGCAACGGCCGCGCGAGGGTCGAGAGCCGCGCCGTGCTCAGGGTCACCGGCGTGCTGCCACGCTTCACCGGCGACAGCTGGCTCTCGATGCCCACCCTCAAGGACGCCTACATGAAGTTCGACATCGAGGTTTCCTTCAAGCCGAGCGGTAAGGCTCGTCGATTGGGGCACCGCTGCGGAGGCATTGGCTGCGTCGCCGGCTCGTGGGTTCGATTCCCGACACCGGGCCCAGCACTATGTAGTAGAGGAGGCCCAAAAAGGCCACAGTCGCGCCGCGGTCGCGAAAGATTGCGACGGGTGCAACATGGCTTTTTTAGTGGGTACCCGTTTCTCACCGGGACTCCCACGTACCCCTGCCACTCCCCCGATGCAGTTAAAAAATGGGTTCGATTCCCGCGCGGTACGAGTGCTTGTGTGGCCCGCTGATATTTTTCACGGATCTGGGTGGGTACCTGTTACCCGTCGCAAAAAAACCCGGTCTGCATTCTGGGCCAACCCCACCTATGTGGGACAATGGTGGGGGAAAGAAGATTGGGAGCCAGCATACGTGCGCGTACTGCACGCACGTGAACGCAACAAATACTAAATATCAAATCATCTACTATAGAGTAAAAAAAAAAAAATTAAAAATCTCTAGAAGTTCAACACCCATAATCGAGCCTAAACCCTCCGCAGACCCCAACGAGCTGATTTAGTACCAAGCACTATAAAAAAAAATAAAAAAAATTTTAGAAGTTCATCACCAGAACACTCCGTAATCGAGCCTAAACCCGCAGACCCCAACGGGCTGATCCTGTACAACGGACAGAACGAGGACAGCAGCGGCGACTACCTCTCGCTGCAGCTCGTCAACGGCGTGCCGACGTTCGCGTTCGACGCGGGCAGTGGGCCCCTGACCGTCACCGGGGACAGACCGCTGCAGCTCAACGAGTGGCACACCGTCCGCGTCAGCCGCGACGACTCCAAAGGTGAGCGTGCCCATCTCGATGCCACCGCCCTTGGGGCGTTCGGCGATAAATATGGGCAGAGTGAGATCTTTACGCACACCGAGCGATATGTGGCGCAAAGCAGTGGCAACCAATAACATCTCTCCAAGTTGTTTCGACACATCTCCAACCCCGCGGGAGTTTGTTTGCTAATTTCTCGCGTAAAAAATAAGAAGCTCAAATAAAACGCGTGTGTAGTGAAAGTTCTTTAGCTCCGTCTATACGCAATCTAGTGAGTAATCAAAATATCAATTTAGAATTTTATTCACTTTAAACGTGGAATGTTTTAATGTATTGAACAAAAATATTGATTTATAAAATTGTGCGGGAACGAAACGCAATTGCGAAATAATCGAGCGATCACCGTTCGCGTAACGTCACACTTTTCGTAACGCTCTCGTCACGCATTCACCAGCTCACTCCGCAAGTCGAGCGTGCGTAAAGAAGTGTCACATAAAGAACACCCACCTGTTTACGCGTTCACGCTCGTTTCACAGTTACCATGGACGTGGACAACAAGGGGCCGTTCAGCGCGGAGTCCTCGAGCCAGTGGAACGTCCTGGACCTGGTGCAGCCGCTGTACATCGGTGGCGTGCCGGACGCGAGGCAGCTGCCGCGCGATCTCTACGGCGCCTCCGGGTGAGAGCGGCCCTCCTTTTTGGTCCCCTGCCACTGGATCGGGGGAGTGGCAGGGGAGTCCCAATAAGAACGGGTATCCACTAAAAAAGCCACGTTGCACCTGTCTCTGTCGCATCGGCCTCGACTGTGGCCTTTTCAGGCCTCTACTAAATGGTGCTGTGCCGGTGCAGAGAGCGGCCCTCCTGGGCAATGTTAAAACTTTTTCGTGGACGCGATTTGCTAGGACTTCCATCATGAGGGAGGGTTTTGCCATAGTTGCCACGTCTGGCAGCGGGTTGGCAACCGCAGTTCCTCCAGACACCTCGCAACTTTAACGGGCAAGCGTGCGGGAAGTCGATGGGTGCAGGTGGCTCGGGATCGTACTTCGTGGCGGTCTGTGATGGCCTATGTTCAGCAGTGGGCTCAAAGAGGCTAAAAAATGATGATTTGCTAGAGAGGCCCAACGACCTCTGCGTTCTAGAAGATCGAAGGGAAGTTTTAGGCTTCCCTTCGAAAACATTACGCTCAGGACTCCCATTCAAAATAATACCTTTAAAGTGCGCACATACTATGGTTAAATTCGGCAAACTAAACAACTAATATTTGTTGACTTTATATTTAAATAAATATTGTTTTTTTTTTACAGTTTCATCGGTTGCGTTAGCATGCTGATACTCGGCAACGAAGAGAAGAACATTATGATGAACAGTCTCAACAGGAACAATATCATGGAGTGCGACGCGTGCGTTCCCAACATGTGTCTGAACAACGGAGTTTGTCAGGTTCGGGCGGATGAATGCTTAAATATATAACAATAATCCCTTAAGTATGAATAATAACGAATTATAACCGCACTAATGAATTCACAAAAACAGTTGAGTTGTGAGTCGAAAAAGTCGATTTTGCGAGAGTGCGAAGCTCTTATTATGCCCTGTCACCAAAAGTGTATTGAAACGGCCAAAGTCTTATGAGTTTTCGAGTGAGTCCACAATATTTGGGCGTATGCAACGAGATATTATAATGTGCATCAGTCGTCTGCCGACCTTTTAACGCGGGCCTAAGGTTATTCTTAAGCTCTAAGATATCACGTGTATTCATTTTTTCGTCAAACGAGCGATTTCTAAACCGAAAAGCGGCGTGACTCGCCGTTACATTTTTATCATGGTCCTTAATTTCAGAATAAGACTAGATTACACGTTATAGCTTTAATTAAAGACAATATTCTAAAAATTGGAAGGAAGGGGTTTAAAAAAAATGCTAAGCGACGGCCCCTGATTGCGCGGTTTTACCGCGCTACGATTCTTTGGCCTCTTAGAGATTGCTACGCGAGTAACGAATGTGCGGCGGCGTAAACTCGGGCTACAGTCCGTACTGTAACGTGGTGCATCCGCGCTACGATTATCGTTAACGATGGTCGCGTAGAACGTGCTACACGCGTATGTCCGACTGCGTCGGTAACGTGCATTTTCCTCGCGTAGAGCGTTGGTCGTGTAGATCGTGCTACGCGCGTATGCTAACCGCGTCTGTAACGTGCTACGCGTCCGCAGGAGGCGCGCAACGAGCGCGGCTACGTGTGCCTGTGCCCGGCCGGCTACGCGGGCCTGAACTGCGACCGCACCGGGCAGGCGTGCAGGCCGGGACTCTGCGGCCCGGGACGCTGCGCCGACACCGCCGACGGCTACAAGTGCGCCTGCCCCGTCGCCTACACCGGAAGGAAGTGAGTCGGCGCCACACACTGGAGCGGAAGTTTGCCCTTTAGTCGCGGCATCAGTATTCTGATTATCTTGAATGATTCATGCAAAAGGAATGTAGTTAAAACTCTTCAAAATCAACATATTTTACAACAATATAAAACTATAGTAAAAAATTACACGTCTCGCAAAGTCATTTCCACATTACGAGTATCCGAAATTGACTTGTACGGATTGGCCCTCGATTGTCACCGGTCGCTCAACGTCCGCAGCTGCGAGCAGAACCAGACGATCGAGTATCCGGCGTTCACCGGAAGCGCGTACCTCGCCATCAAGCTTCCGGGCACGTCCAGCCGCTACTTCCAGATGTCGATGAAGATCAAGGCCACGCCGCCCGTCATCGACGGCATCATCATGTACTGCAAGGCGAGGGGCGGCGGATTCACCGCCCTCACCGTCCGCAACGGCAAACTGGAGTTCCGCTTCGACATCGGCGACGGTATGTCCGCTCACCACCGATACGTGCGTCGTAGCTACCTAATTTGTTCAAGGTCCCCAATATTTCTATTTAATACCTCATTACTCAACAAACACTAGCGTGCTTGTTGCGTACATGTAATATCGTGTAATAATATAATTGAGATTCGAAAATTAACTTCGATCCTCCCAACTTGGGCCTAAGGTAAAATCATATTAAGTGACATTTGACGAGCGCTCACGTGGGTGGTGGCAGGCAACCCCGTGGTGCTGACCAGCAACAAGACCCTGGACGCAAACGAATGGACCGACGTGAAGATCACCCGCGTCGGAGCCGACGTAGGCATGAAGATCAACATGGTCGACGTCTACGAGCAGAAGCTGGCCTCCTACAAGAAGGTAACGTTGCCCGATACTTAGGCGGAGCGCGTGAAAGAGAGACAGAGGGTGAGAGAGAGAGGGAAAGAGAACATGAGGAAAGTTTAATTACGTCCTTTCTGTATTCCCATATTAAAACTATAGCACTTGATCGTTCCTCAGTCACTTGTAATCTCATGCCGTTGCTAGAACTGAGTTTAGAATAGGAAAAAAATGTTACTTCCATTTCTCGTCTCGGACAGTCTTTCACTATCAATTCCGAACAGGCTTAAGTTAATAAAAAGGTTTTATTTCTGCGACAACGCACCTGGGCCTGGGAGACTTCTTTTTTTTATGTGCAATGTTGCCAAACGAGCAGACGGATGAGTGAATACCGCCGCCCATGGACATCTGCCACACCCGAGGGTTACAGATGCGTTGACAACCATTTGAAAATTGGGCTCCGGCCACCTCACTCACCAGACGAAACGCGAAAGTGTTATACTTCCACTTTACGCCGGTCACCTGTGAGGTCGCGGTACTTACCCGGACCAGCCCATTCGTGCAACAGCCGAGGCTGCCGCGTGGCCCCACCACCGTAAGAATAATTCCGGCGGCATTAACGCGTACACGCTACGCATTGCCCGGCGCAGGAGGTGTACCTCGAGACGCCGATGTTCGTCGGCGGCGTCGACGAATCCGTCATACTGAACAACAGCACCGGGGTGACGGGAGGCTTCAGCGGCTGCATCAAGGACGTGAGAATCCCTTCGATCCTATCGTGTTCATAAAAACCACGCGCTGGACGCGTTTCAAGTCGAGTCAAGTCAAAGTTTGTTCATACAACATGCGCTTACTTTAACTTCGCATTGAACGTCAAAAACACCACCGATTCACTAAACTAGACCTGCAAGAGAAGAGCCGGCAAGAAACTCTGCGCTCATATACTTTTTTTTTTTTTATAAATTATTTTACAGTAAATTTTTTAAGTATAAAATTAACAGAAGCCAGGGTACTTGCGAGTGCAGAGCAAGAGCATTCCCACACGTCCTTGTCCTCAATGTATTCCTAAACAATATAATTATTGGCTTTCCATTGAGGTGGCTTTTACAAAATTATTATTTACTTATTTATTCTTACAACACCTTGAATAGGAAACACGAAAAGCTGAACCATTAAGGAGTAACAACTCGCAAGCTCTTACTAGTAAGAGTCGAGGACAGAAATTGCTTAAAGACATGATCATTCGATTTCCTTAGGTGCGCCTTCACGGAGACCAAGTGGATATTGTGAACTCTTCGATCCAGTCGGCCAACGTCCAGGAGTGTCCTAACTACATCCGCGGTGACATACCCGAGGTGAGACCATCATACGAGCATTTGTGACACTTGTGAGCTGCGCTTTGTCTCATCGATGATTTGGCTATAGCCAAGGCCTTAGTCTAAGCTGGAGCGTCTGTTGTGTGAGTTTGAGTCTTCGAACAACTGAAGCGCATGCGTCTGATAACGTGTAATGTGCAGTTTATGTTTTGCGTGACGGTGGCATCAAGTTGCAACTTTATAATCGCATATTTCCAATACCCGTAGTGTTGCAACCTTTTATTAGAATCCCTCCGTGCCACCATGCTCAGCAGACGAAACGCGGACGCGTAACACTTCACGCGTATATTTAGCGGACGGACCGCCCAATGCAACATCGAATACCGTCGCGCGGCGCTACAACATTTTTTTATATGAAAAGTTGCCAAGCGAGCCGACGCTTCACCTGATGCTAAGTGAATACCGACGCCCATGGACATCTGCTGCAGCCGAAGGTTGCCGATGAGTTGACAACCCTTTGGAAATTGGGCTCCTGCCACCACACTCACCAGACGAAACGCGAAAGTATCATACTTCCACTTCACGCCGGTTTTATGTGAGGTCGTGGTACTTACCCGGACGGACAAGCCCATTCTTGCAACAGCCGGGGCTGCTGCGGGGCCCCACCACCGTAAACACGTAGAGCGTAAACGACGCACGCCACGCACACGTCTTACGGAACGCGTCCGAGCTCCGACAGAGCTGCGTGTACTGACCCGTACACCCTCCCGCGCAGGTCGACAGCGTGTGCAGCCTGTGCCGCAACGGGGGCCGGTGCGACGCGCCCGACTCGAGCGCGTGCCGCTGCCCGCCGGGGTACGCGGGCACGTACTGCGAGTCGCGCGCGCCCCCGCCGCCCCCCGCGCGCCGCCCCTCCCCCGCGGACCCGTGCGCCGCGCGCCCCTGCCGCAACGGGGGCACGTGCCGCACCGACCGCGGCACGCGCATGAACTACACGTGCGACTGCCCGCTCGGATACGCCGGCGCCAACTGCCAGATGCGTGAGTGGTCGCGGCCCCTTTCTCCTATTGTCATGCCCTAGCCGTGTTCGGCAACAGCGACTGTTCACTAACATTGAGAGCGTCGCTGATGCGCTCTCAGGTGACTGGCTTGGCCGATTTTTGCAGCGAACGTGCGGCCACACTCACCACAAGTCAGCACCCCTCCGATATAATTATAATAAATAGCCGCAGGTGGTCTGGCCCTCGACTCGTCGCGCTTAGAGTCCAGTTCGTTACAGCGACTAGTTTCAAAGTCACACACTGCTGCGCACCGTGTGCTTCCATTTTGTGCGGTCTTCTGCTAGAGTCTGCTGTCTTTTTTATTAGAAAAGCTGTCGAGAGCAGGCGACTCCGATGCCAAGTGAATGCCAAGGTCTGTCAGAGAGGTCCCGGTCACCTCACTGACCAGTCGAAACGCGAAAGTTTATTTCATTCACTTCACGCCAGACGTGCCTACCCATTCGTGCAATAGCAGAGAGGTTTCCGAAGTCGACGAAGGGAGATTCGAAGATTTAGGGAACCCAAGCACCGTAGCCTGCAGATCTATGAGAGGTGGAAGAACGGGGAAAATATTTAAATTGTCAGACACTAACTGTTAACCGCGGCTTTGCGCGCGCGGTCAATGCGAAATAACGACGAGTTTTCTATTTACACACCAGAGTTACTCGCAGATGGCAAAATGATTTCCCACTTACTTGACACTTGTCGTTATATTTTGGACGATTCACACAATATCTTCACAAATTATATCCTGTGTTATTCTGATGTGAAAGCTATATCATCGTAAAGTTTCATTAAAATCCATTCAGCAGTTTTTGCGTGAAAGAGTAACAAACATCCATAAATCCGTACATGCAAACTTTCGCTTTAACAATATTATTAGGGAAGTAAGGATTAAGTATTAATTATTATTATGTATGACACGGCGAGAGCGATCGACGAATCGCGCGCCCCCTTTTGAGATGCTCCGCCCGTCCGCAGCGCTGCAACTGCTGCAGAGCGTCGGCTTCAACGGCAACGGCTACCTGGAGCTGCCCGGCAGCATGATGCGCTACGACCAGCTGGACGAGGAGCAGGCGGTCATCGCCCTCGCCATCTACACGAGCACCGACGGGGTCCTGTTCTACCAGCACGAGACGCAAGCGCCGCCCTACTCGGGCGACTACCTCCTGATCAGAGGTGAGCGCGCGACCTGCGCGCAAATGTTTGTCGGTCGTTTTGTTTGGGCACGCATGTCGACATGCGTGAATCTACGTTGATCAGAAGTGAGCGCACCGCAATCTACGCGCAAATGTTTGTCGGTCATTTTGTTAGTGCGCACATGTCGACATGCGTGAATCCACCTTAATCAGAAGTGATCGTATCGCAATCTACGCGCAAATGTTTGCCAATCCGCGACAATATTTTGTCCAGAACATAATAACATAACAGAACATAATACAGTAGACCCTCTATTACCGGAGCCTCGAAAATCCGAACGATGACTTACTCTATCCGACTACTCCAGATACTACATCGTCACAAATTGTGTCATAAAACAAAACTATTCTCAGGCAATAAATGCATATCACAATTATTTACATTCAATTTAACCAAATATTACAAGTTGCCTTTTTGTTATTGCTGTTTGAGTTTAGCTGTCACTAAATTTTTAGGGTTCCGTACCCAAAGGGCAAAACGTGAACTGAGACTCCGCCGTCTGTATGTCTGTGACCAGGCTATTTTTTGTGAATCGTTATATTTAGACAGTTGAAATTTTCACAGATGATGTATTTCTATTGCCGCTACACAACGAATACTGAAAAACAGAATAAAAAATATTTAAGTGGGGCCCATTTCACAGACATGTTCTTGCCGTTTTCATAGATAATGGCATGGAACCATACGCGCGCGATTACGACTCGCACTTGGCCGCTTTTTCTCTTCACTGCATAAAGCGTCGTTGATGACTTGCTCTATTGATACAAGTAGTGATAACTCTGATGATCTAATTTCAGTCCGTGACGGAACAGTCGTGATGGAGTGGAATATGGGCAGCGGTTTCTCATCCATCAGCGTTGATGAGGCGCTCGTCAACGATGGCGAGAGGCACACGGTAATGCGTCTTTCATGTTGTCAGTTAAACCCGATTTGGACTGGTTAAGGGTAAAGGGTACAGTAGTGTGAACGGTCGGCCAGTGGCGAGTCAACTTGCCTGTCAGCACCGAGAGTTTACACTACTGTACTTATTTTTTTAGTTTAAGCCTCAAGTCAGCCGGTGGTCGGCGACATGCTCGTCACTTGTCGCGTTCCGTACGAATGCTAGCTACTTTTCTGTAGCGTATAATAAGCCGTCGCTGCTGAAAAGTTTAATAAGATCTTCTCAATAAGTTCTTGTCATCAATGTTCGTCGATTTTGAATGAGGTACGACCCTTGACCGTGACCCAAGCCGCTCCCAGGCCGTGTGAAACATGAAGCCGTGATAGCTCAGTGTCCGGGCGCTCGCCTTTATTTCAATTCACTCGAGCAACCCGAGTTCGATCTCCGGTGCCGGCATCAATTGTTAATTTCACGCGCCGACTTATCACGTGCCGAGCGGTGAAAGAAAACTTCGCGAGGAAACTTGCATATTTTCGAAATAATAACAAAAAGATATTTCAAAGATACGCGAACTCCGCCAAACCGTGGGGCCGCGTGGTTGACCTTTGCCCAGCAATGGTTTATTGATTACTTAAATTTTAAGAATCTACCAGCGCCAGATGTATCCGCCCTAAGTATTACGGCTAAGAGACGCGTTGCACTTTCTAGGTCATCGCCAAACTCATGTCGGAGAATCAAGTGTACCTCTCCGTGGACGAGGTCGTCAAGACCGCCCCCTCCGGCTTCGCCAACATCATGAACGTCGATTCCAACGTGTACATCGGTATGTAGTTCCGTTTTGTGTTCTATTGCCTGGTCGTTAAGGTTCAATCTCGTTTGAAAACTCTGTGATGGCGATGTACGACCCAATCCTCTTTAGACACTGTGTATGTCCATCTTGTACTGTGAAGAGGTCGACCTCTTCCTGATTTCTCCATGTAAATAAAGCGTATATAATAGTCCATTAGAATCTCGCCAACACAGAAGACACTAGCTAAAATAAGCACTATTTATAAATTGTTTGCGTCCGAAGATTAAACGCAACAGGAAAGTTCTCGTACCCCGAATATTCGATTAATCGAAATCACGTCTTCCAAGCTTTAACCTTTTCGTCCATTTTTTTGAAGTTATATTTCTTTTCGGGCGTTGAAAAAAATAGACAGACACACACAAAAATAGACAGACAGGCGACGTACACGTCATAGTGTTTTATAGCAAGCAACCACTTATTGGCTTTGTTCTTCACAAACAAAGAGTACTGGCACACGGGATAAACACACACACAAACCAATTTTAACGTTGCCACCTTAGCGCGGAGATTATCAAAATAAAAAAAATCTAACAGCAATGGCGTCATATCATCGAGTGTAATTTCGTTAAAATGGTGCCCGCTTCGACCCGCAGGCGGCATGCCGGAGCGGCTCAACTTCCAGGGCTACCCGGGCCTCAACGGCTGCGTTGAGCAAGTGGAGCTGATGGACTCCAGCCGCGCCATCCAGTTGGGCGATGTAGCGGTCGCCGGCAGGAACACCCAGCGCTGCAGGGAGTGAGTATAGTCACCCCCCACCGTCACCACCACCACCACCACCCTCACCCCACGTGCACACGCGCGCCCGCTCTGACGAATAACAACGAACACAAACACACACCAGCAGTAACACACTAACTGGCCGAATTCATCTCGATCCCGCAACTCCCACTGTTGTGTCGATAAAATTAAATACAATTGAATAACATGATATAATAAGTATAACATACATGCCTTTACATTTTTTCCCGGCTAACGAATAGAAAACTCTAACACACACTAACTGTGACACACAAACACACAAAACGAAACACACTATTTCGATCTACGATCCCAAAAGTCCGACGGTTGTGTCGATATAAGTAAATAAAATTGAATAACATGATGTAATAGTTATTACATAGCTTTAACATTTTTCCCGACTAACCAATAGAAAACTCTTACACACACTAACTGTGACACACAAACACACAAAACAAAACGCACTATTTCGATCTACGATCCCAAAAGTCCCACGGTTGTGTCGATATAAGTAAATTGAACAACATGATATAATAATTATAGCATGGCTTTGGCATTTTCCCGGCTAACGAATACAAAATCTAACACACACTAGCTGTGACACACAAACACACAAAACAAAACACACACACTCGATGTACGACCCCACAAAACCCATTGTTGTGTCGACATAAGTAAATACAACTGACTAACATGATATAATAATTCTAACAAACGCTTTCTTCGCACGCTGCCCTGGATTTATCAGTGCAATGTTCCCCGACGTTTATCCCTTCTTCGAGGAGGTGGACGTCTACAAGTCCCCCCCGAAGGGCTATTTCAACTCGAACCCAAAAACGACCGCCGTTCGTCTATACATTGCCCTGGCGCCGTCCCTTGTCGTCTTTCTAAACTTCTAAGCTTTAAATATTAACCAACTGCATCGATTACTAACATGGATATTTGAGGTGCGTATTTGTTATGTGTCAGCAACGTAGTTTCGCGTATTTTCGTTTCATTTTAACAAACTCTTTTATTTTTTGAAGTTATACTTCTTTTGACGCGTTAGGAGAAAATGATGAGAGTTAATTTTCACGATGCGCGCGCACACCGTCACGAACAACCGACACCCTGAAGTTGGCTAGGCATCTACGTATGTTCGCTTGAGAACTGCAACTGTATTCATGATATTTGTTTTGTGTTATTTAAATAAACTTTATTTAACTATATAATGCGTTACAATAAAACTTTCCGTGTATTAAATACCTTTTTTCCATTGTTAGTGTCGTTTATTCTACAAACGTAGAATAATGCGAAAGATAAAATATTTGAAAAGACTTTTATCTTGTTACGCCAAAGAAGTATAACTTCTAACGCGTGTACATAAGTGCACACACACTTTTTTTCATATATGTATACAACCAGGCTTTTCCGTTTATTGGTATATTTTGACACAGTATCTTAAGTGACCGTGAATCATTTATTTGTGATTCATTTATTTGTTATACAAAAAAAAAAGAACAATATGAGCTGTATTTAAATTTATAATCTGTTGAAATTTATTTGTTCATAAACACATTAAGTTAAATGCTTTATAATCTATGCTTCCATATGTCACATTTTATTATTCAGTCATTTCATTAAAATGAGAATTTTTTTGTAGAAATATTCGCAATAAAGAAAATTTAGTTTTAGCGCATTCGGATGAGTTAACTGTGCTTTTGTATATATATGTAGAAGTATCATCATTTCATAAGTTTTACACTCTTTCCTTGTTCTAATGCGTTTCGTTCGTTTCCAGGTGAGAGCCGCCACCAGGGGGCGCTCTGCCGTAACGCTACTCTATCAATTATAAGGTCAATTTAACGCGTCGTCTGTAATTTCTCTAATATTGTAATCCCGATCGGTCGCCTGGCGGCGGCGGCACGCATTCCGAACCACCTGATTCTGCCGCCGCCGACATGCGCCGCGATCGTTTGTTGGACGGTCATAATAAATGTGTATTTACTTGTTTAGCGTAAGGGGGCCGTTGTGCTCCATCCCTTTCTAACCCCCCGCGTCGAACTCCGCCGGTAATACGTTCGCCACGCGACCCTAGCGGAGTTCGATGCGCGTTTAGCGTTTAAGCCACTTCACGATCCTGGACAATACTGCTAGCTTAGTCGACTAGTTTACGCGGACACTGATTACATAGCGTCTCTCATACTGTTACCGTATAACGATGTCCAATTTGTTCGTATACTGCGCGGGTGCTCTAGGGAGGTGTTCTGGTGCCATAAGATTATTAGCCTTATTGTTAGGATTAGGGAGACTGCCGTTTGTTTGTTCCACGAATCAGCCCTTCGTGTGGTTTTCTTAACGTTCTCGTCCTTTCGTGGGTCTGTAAGTTTTTATTTTCGTGCGCACAATTCGCGAGCGGTTGTGTGACTTTCAAGGTCTCTCTAATAATTCGCGTTTTAGTGTTTTTTTTTTCCCCTTTTTATTTTACCACGGCAACGTTTAGCGAGTACAATCGTTTTCCGATTTAAATGACATGTGCCAAAAGCGAGTGACGCTCCACCTTTGTTCTTTCCCCCACTGCCATCTACGTACCATTTATCTTTCACCTAAGTAATGTTTGTTTACGTTTTTTGCGTAGTACTATGATAAGTTCAACTAATGCAACGAATAAGCTTATTGTTAAGTTTTTCGTGTTTTTCGGTGCATCCGCAACGGACTCACCATCGACCTGACCGTTGATCTTTGCGATTTAATTCTCTATATACATATAGTATACTATACTATATTATTATTTTAATTTCCTCCTCAACCAGTCTCACCGGGTATCGCCAGTGTTTAAATTCTATTAAATAATATAATTATTCATCTATACATATATATATTTATAATGCATTAAATGTGTCTATTAAAGTTAACTTCTGTAAGGATAATGTATGAAATAAAGTTTATTAATTATCAACGTGTTAGACGCATCTTATGGCTATTATATGTCGGCATTTTAAAGAACCTGCCTAAACGATAAGGAGCCCTATATGTGTATCGCTGCTAAGTGAACAACTAACAATAAAGAAATGAAAACTATGTATGAGATAACTGTTTCATTTGACACAAAACCCCTACTAATAGCCCTCCTATCGATGGAAGTACATCCATCAGTGACAGTTTGAACCATGCACGTGCTGTTGTTGCGTGGACGATTAGCTGATCCATGTTTAAATGAACCTAAAATACAAGGATTTGCCTTGAACTTGATGACTCCGTGGCGCAGTCGCCAAGGTATCGGCTTCGGCGTCGGGGGTCGTGGGTTCGATTCCCACACGGGACAACTATTTGTGTGGCCCACAGATTGTTGTTTCGCATCTGGGTGTTTGTCCGCGTGAAATTTATGTTTGTAAAACGTCCTCACAACACAAGTTATCTATATGTTATCCTACAGTAAGGGCATTGTTTAAAAAAAACAATAAGATAAGAATAGGATTCAAGTTATCAAAGTCAAACATAGAAGACAGTAGAATATTTTCTCTCCTAGACGTTTCGACACCAACTATTATTTTTATGTCTATTGACAAACTAAAGACGGTTCTATCTGAAAATACCGTCGCCCTTGAATATGCCGAAATTTGAGTGGATCTACCTAGTTACCTCACAATGTAGACGATGCATAGTTTGTAAATACCTACCACTGCTCTACCCGAATCACCCGGCGCTTCTACTTAGAAACTTGGCTCAATAAGGAGAAATGTATGAAAAAAGATGAAACAATACAAAAAAAATTATGGCCCAAACAATCGCCGCTTCGAAATTTGGCGTTGAAATAATAATAATGAAGAAATCATTATACCGTTGCTGAGGTGCATAGCGACATACTTAACCTCAATGATATTATATTCAAACATAAATATGAATGAGGCACTCAAATTACGCCAATTTGTGTAATTTTGTTGACTGCTATCTCTTTCCGTATCATAAGTTCTATATCATCTGTCACATTCAGTTATATATGTCATATAATGTAAAGCGGAACAATTTTTCAGACAATTAACAGAGTATCCACATGCGTCATTGATATTATTAAACGTCATTGCCTTACCCAGAGTACATTATTAATATAGATTCATCAGTCTCCTCATGAGACAGCGCCATCTCTTGATGCGGGACCGAACTACAAATTCAAATGTATATAACCTATACTAATTAACCATTTTGTTTTTACAGTTGAGCTGTATTCAACTACAGTTTTCTGTATAATGTATATAAAATTTATTTAATTTATATTTGATAACATTGTATAGAAAACTGTAATGAGGTACAAGCTTTCCAGATGTTATTTTTGGATAAAGTAATTAAAATACAGAAATATGTTTTGCGAACTTTACTTTGTTTTTTATAATATTCACTCACTATTTTTTTTATAATCTTTGTTATTAATTATTTCGAGTCTGATGCCGTTTAGTAAATTATTTACGTTAAATTATTTTTGGCTATCAAAAACCAGAATTTTTCCACCAATCGATTGAATCCATGTTTTAAATCTGTCACTATCATTTTCAGGTGAGGAAAAGAATGCAAATTTGCGTTGCAGTCTTTACCTGTAAATACAATATTAATGTTTTGCCGTAACGTATAACAAAATAAAATGATGAATAGTGAAAGATAACCGAATAAAATAAATTCATAATAACCGGCCGCAGTTCAGTGTTACCAACTCCGATGGTTTGATTTTCTCACCATTTGGCATTTTACATTACTTATTAAATGAATTTAATATATAATGAGTAGCCGTATATTCACAATAAAAGTTTATGGCGGAACAATTTAAAATACTACATAGGCCAATGCTGCCATGACTATTACATTATATTTTGTGTTTAAAATTGTATATATTTTAAAAAAAAACGTAAATAAAATTTTATTCCTAAAAAGATTCCCAAAAAATTAGCGACAATCATCAACAAATCTTAATGAAATTAATATCAGTGATGTAGAATATTTTAATAAAAAGGATTGTTGTTTTAATTTGTTGATTGAAGTAAGATATTTGTAAATATTAATTTAATTCATTAAAATTAATTCGAACGCGACGGCCAAAACACCGCGCCTCCGCGGCGTTGTTTCTGTTCTCTTCCAATTCCACACGTTGAACAGAGAGCGGTGAGGCGCGTTGCAAGATGGATCTATGTCCTCCGCTCAACTTTACGAAATATGTTCGGTATTTATTTATTTTTGAAAGTTATAATTTTATTAGATCTTTCGAAAATACGCAACTAACAACTAAAGCGTATTTTCAATATCTTATCTTGTGATTGAAAGTTTTATCAGTCCTATACATACAGTGGACAGAGGGTTAAAATCCCGACATTTCTTTGTTGTATTTTTTGGTGATTTTCTATTTTGTAAAAATTTTTTATTTACCATTTAATTTTTGTTGATTTTTTATTTTTATAAATAATTACTACAGAATATTACTGTATTTTTTGAACGTAGAATGCAACAGTTGGAGAACAATCTATCAGAATGTGATCTGATAATAAACAAACTTTTCATTATTTCAAATTTTTAACAAGTCTCATATTGTATATTGTTTTTAATTTTTCTATTAAAATATTTAATTATTCACCCTAAAACGAAAATTAACCTTTTATGATCATGAAAAAAAATTTTTTTATTAATTTGTTTATTTTCCACATTCTATGAAATAAAAACAAAATAATTATATGTTACAAATTAAAATAGGAAAAAGATATACCACTCAATCTTTTCATTTTTAGAAAATGTCGTTTTATCCCAGTTTTCAGGGAATGAAAAATATTATTCGAATACGACGGTAAATTTCACCGAAAAAAAATGTTATAGTATAACATTTTTATATATAATAATAGCTCGGTCGGCAATCGGGCGGCCGCTAACAAACAGCCACGAAACAGAAGGCCGTGGTTCGTATCACGATCATTTACACACTTATTTTTTTATTTTTTTTTTTCGATTCCAGATCATTGCTTTCTTTATCTTTTATTTTTTGTCGATTTGTTATTTTGTTATTTTTTTCCCTTTTTTTTTAAAGTTCTTTCTTTTGTGAGAAACACCAGTTCATATTTTCTTATTATTACGTCGGCAAGATCGAAACATATTATGCATATTTCATTACTTAGTAATTTGTATCTAAATGTACTTTCCAAAATACACGATTTACCAAAAAAAAAAAAAGAAAACAAACCGAGCAAAGCTCGGTCCTCCAGGTACTAAGGTTTAAACTTGGAACCACCGTAATTGTACACCTACCATGACGCTCGGCCCAATAGGCTACACGATGTCTGCGGAAGTTAACAAAATTTCGATTCTACTTATAATTGTTGTCGTTTATCGATATAAGGAATTTTATCGATAATTTTTTAAATATAATTTCATTGAGGAATTAATATAACGTAGTAAGTCTTTCACATTTAAAGGATAAATTAAAGATATAAAGTTTAAGAAAATATGTAACAAAAAAGTCGTATCCGTAATTTCCGCCGTGGAGACTATGAAATTGATTAACGTTTTTATGAGCTATTACTTTAAATCAAAATAAATAATTAATCGTTTATAAATTGTTTTGTTGTGAGAAATGTCATTTGCCTTTATTAATTTATTTGACCTTAACATGTATTTTTAATCAATTTTAATCCGTTTCCTGATAATTTAAAATAATTAATAGGAAGATTTTCTAAAATTGTTAATTGCTTTCTCATACTTTATATTTGTTTGTTTATTACTATTCCTATAATAATATAAGAGTAAAATGCAATCATGGTCTATGAAAGATATTATAGGGATCATCTGTGTACATTTTCGATAGCCTTCCATGATACTATCGATAGTATCCTACGGCCCATCACTACACACACACTAGGTAAAATGATTGATTTGGTCAAGCGGCGCGTCGACGAAACTCGCACGCTGCGGCTCGCTAAGCGGGGTTACCCCTCCTCCGCTTCCTCATACTTCACACCCAAATAGTTAAAAATTCACAGCGTACAGCGCCTTAACTGTACAATATTTTAATAGGCTTTTGCTCAATTGCGCGAGGCTAGCTCTGTCAGCGATAGCCACCTCAACAACCCCTCCACAGGATCCATCCTTGTCTGCCTGTTTTGCATGGTACGACCCCGAACGAACTCCCCCAAGTTCGCTAACCAGAAGCCGTGGGAGCCAGAAGAGGCAACCCTAGTAAGCAGTAAGCCTCCTAGCATCAGCGGCGGACTTTCGCTCCGCCGTTAACTACCTTTCGGACGCAGAGGCTAAGGAATCCTCTCCCCCACCAATGCTGCAACAACGAAGCAGCCCCGCTGAGTCGCGGAGTTAGCAAGAGTGGACAAATTCAAAACCAGCACTCCTCTGAGGCAACATTGATTAAACGGCGCCATTTATAGACTATCAAACTTTTTTCATGAAAGTTTATTCGTGACCGAACCCTGTTTGGATAGTATGCAAATAAATAAATAAAACTTTTACAGTGCGGTTTCATTTACCTTTAACCCTAAACTAATCTTCGTAAATAAAAAGGTGTCAATACAGGGAGGCTTTTCTAAGTGTATCCATTTTTTTTATTAAAGTCTAGACTTATATAATGTTATATAAAAATGATAAATATGTAAAATCACTCATAATTAATTAATTACATTCATTTGATAATCTCAAAAAGTGCGTGTTTTATGGGCAACTCATTTATTATACGCGCGATCATTCATAACTAACATGCAAGTTCGTTTCAAAAGTATACGACGCATTTATTAATGGCTACCGCATTGTCAACAATTTTGGTTTTTTTAGGGAATAGAATTATGGAATAGAATTAGATGGCAATTTTATTGAAAAAAAAAGTTTGTTTTTATTTCAATGATCGATTATAATACGGAGTCTGGACCTCCGGTGTGAATTCGGGCACCTTTAGAAAAGCCACCCTGTATTCGTATAATCTATGTAAATCTAATTTAACTGAACATTTCGCCCCTGATTATCTACATGTAGGGCGATCTGATCCTCTCGAGGAGTCTGGACCGGACGCCTTGAGCGCTGCAATCCTCAAGCCAGTTGACACAGGTTTTCTCCACATTGTAATAGATGTCGTTCGGTATTACCGTGACGAACGGGTCCGCGGCGCCGGGGTGAAGCACCAGGAACTCCTTATCGCCCGTCTTCATTACGTACGGCTTATCGAGGAGTGCAGAGGACTTCATGCCCATAGCGAACTTCAGCTCCTTCTCTACTACGTTGGCCATCGAGTCCTTAGTGGGCGGCGAGGTCGGGCGTGGCGCCTCGGTCGGCTTCTCCTTGTGCTGCCGCAACCACAGTCTCGATTTGAACACGGATCTGTCCTTCTTCAGTGAGTCGTAGAGTAGCTTCCTCATCAGCTCCCCTTGATCCAGTCTCCTTCCGTCGTATGCTCGACGGAATCCGAAGATCATCCGCTCGTCTTCGGCATTCCGGCGGCGGTGCGGCCAGTTTGATGCAATGTTTATGGAACATACGCACCCAAGGGCTACAGCGCTTGCCACGATGTGCTGAAAGTGTCACAATTGTTTTAATACAGCAGTAGGCAGGCAGGATTATTTAGACAGACCTGGGAGTTTTAACGTCAAACGACGTGCTAGTTTGGATCGTAATCGCTTTTGTAGCATTCGGCCTTTTGCCAACTGTTTACAGTACCTAAAGCGGTTAAACGGTGTTTTATTATGGTATATATTTTCAAAATGGATTTATGTATCACGAATATAACTCACAAAATGAATCATTTTCTATTTAAATAAAGTATCATAATTTAAACAACTTGTCGGCGTCCATCTTTCCGTCCGATTCTATTCGTAACGTAGGCGTCTTCAAGGCAAGAGTGGATAGGTTTTTACTGAGCTGGTGCGCTAACCATCAACAGCTGCGTCACCACTTACCATCAGGTGAGACGGCAGTCAAACGCTGGCCAGTTTCATATAAAAAATACGACGATGAACTCTTATTGGGGTCCGCCTTCTCTCGAGGTAATTCAGCGACCTCCTTCTGGACAATGAAGTTCTTTCAGCTGAAAGCTACGGCCTTCATGGCACATCTCCATTCAACATTTTTGACACGCAGCGTGATCTCGGCTTATGTCGCTTATCAGGATACCACACCCCAAATCCCATGCTGGACACACCGACTGTATATGAACTTATACTAGGCCCTACCACCCTAGTGGAGTTAGCTCGCCGTCTCCTTCTACACAGGCAATCACCGGAGCGCTCGTGGCCAATAATCCAGGCTTCAAACGGCAGCGAAGTTAAGGCAAGTCGCTACGTACAAGTCTTCTTCTTCATATCCAGTCAAAATAGATATTTAGATCTCCTTCGACCACTATTTGGCCACATCCACCGCAGCAGAATTGGCTTCAAGCAGGTCTACTTATCTAAGTAAGCAGGAGTTACATAACGGACATTGCAGTAGATGGGCCATAGTTTGGACCTCACCACAGTGACATTTATTGTCGTTAGAAAAACTCCACTTCACTAGTTTATCCTGGCATCCTTGACTAGACTAAACAAGTTGGAAGTCTAGTCAAGGATGCCAAGACTTGTTTACGTCCAAGTAAATGAGGTTAAAAGGTCTGAAGTTGACGAGGTGTTCGGCTTCCAGCAACAGTACCTCGTCATTCGACGCTCTCCGAAACTTGTCCCGCTGTCACTGAATTTGACAATACATGGTTTGCGGCGTCCCTCTTCGCGCAGACAGTCTTCATAATGTGAATTTAGATTTATATGAAGATATTTTATTGTTGTGTCAAAGTGAATCGAATTTCAGAATGTCTTCCTTTGATTTAAAAACCGCTTTGAACTCTTACCCGTTATGACTAACGAAGAATCAAATACTAAGCAATTGATTGATAATATAGAATATTATGATTCTATATTAAAAGATAGTTCTTGTAAGCAAAATTTAAGTAAGTTTGTCTTAAAGAGTAGGTCTCAGGAAGCAAAGCTTAAATTGAAATTAAAATATGAAACGGTTAGTGATTTAATTAATGATATGAAAAATGAGTTATTGTCAAGGAAAGCTGCAACGGCAATACAACATAAGTTACAAAGAATTAGGCAAAATGATGTGTCAATTGAAGATTATGGGAAATTACTAAATTATTTGTGGATCTTCACCAGCTGCAGATGCAATGTCAAGAATTACTATAGAAGATTTGAAAGAAATGCATGAGAGTGTAGTAAACATAATGACGGGAGCACAAGCGAGAAAGCGAAATAACCTCTGACTCTACGGTGGATGTAGTGAACACTGATTCCTCGGCCAAGAGTCCTGAACTACTCTATAATTGTATTTTTTTTTCTTTAAGTGCGGTGATATACTGCCTCCATATTACTCTCTACATTATGGTACTCTATTAATTGTAGCCATTTATATTGCTTGTTGTCATAAAATATAAGTCAGTACTGTTCGGGCCTTGAATAGTTTTCATTTTACCTCTAACACCACACCGTACACATTATATCTTCCTTGAATATGCTTATGGAGGTGATTAATCATCTCAGTTATGTGATAGTCCACTAATGCTGGTTCAAATTAGCTACTGACACGAATATAACAAACTTGAATAATATTCGAGTCTAAAGTAAACTTAGCATGACACAAACTAAAATTGAGCTATATGTCGCCTTCAATAAGACAGTCTCAAATTTGTCAAGCTATATTTTTGCATATTTTTTTGTGTGAAGTTTATTCAACTATTTACAACTATATAGATACGTTCACAGGAGCAGTACTGAATTATGATTCATTAGTTAATAGCGTCAACTGCCGAGCACAGCAAAGTCAGATTGATAAAAACAACAAATTGAAATGGACGGCAAAATGCTTTTAAGCGTACGGATTTCTACGAATGGAGGTATCAATGAACTTCCATTAAAATGGAAATAGCGTAGACAATAATGAAAATCACTCCAATCAATTAAAAGAGAGTTGATTTTCTCTATTTAAAACGTATCGAACAAGTTAATTACGCGACTTTCTGAAGGATAACAGTTACTCATAATATTATAATAAAACTTACATATAAAATCAACATTATTTTCCCGAAATTTCTTCGCTATAATGTTTGTAGGACTTGTAGTTCTAGATACAGGTTGTCGCACATCAATCCACGCGTGAAATTAATGAAATAACTTCTGATTATCCGCAAGTAATAAAGCTTGAGTAAGATATGCTATCGTATTACTATGAAATTAACTGAATTTTTCATTTGCAAAAAGTGTTTTATTTTATAGAGAATTCTAATATTATGGTGCGATTGAAACGGTACAGATTGCGCCAGTGTTTCAGACCGTAATTTCTAAAGTCACTCTGTTAACTATTTGTGAAAACCGTACACAACTTCATGTACTAAAGTTAAAAACTTAAAAAAAAAGATAAAATAAGAGTTATAATAAAATGATTTCTTTAAAATTAGTGTGATTTCTATAAACATTATTTTAGTTTTCAAAATGAGGATTAGTTTTTTTAATTATATTGAGAGGTAAAATAAGAGAGGCCATAATAGCACGAAAGCCCTATTATTGAACATGTTCAAGAATATAAAATACTGGTGTGTACCTAATACTTTGGATGCAGACGGCCAATTTCAGTATAAAATCTATTACATTTATATTTATCGACAATCGCTGAACACACAATGGGCTAAATTGATAGGGTTGACCCCCTCGAAAAGTTTGTGGAAAGCGTCTGCTAGTTATATAGTGCAGGGAGTTTAGATACAAATCCTATCCGACCGCCAACCACGTCTCGCTTGCATAACTGCTTTGTTCATTCTTCATTTATGTGCGGAAGATTTGCACTGTTCGTTTGTACGGTTATGGACCCCCTTAAAACGCCCCCAACGAACTATACTACGCCATTTGCATCCACCGTTTTCCTATGACGCTTACGATGTCGTCGGTCCGCCCACTATGTGGCCTTCCAACGCTACGTCTTTTTGTTCATTCCTCATCCGTCGTCAGCTCCTCGAGGGATGTGCCTTGAAACTTCAACTGGCAAATCCGGAGAGCTATGTCGGTCACGTTGGTTCTCCGCTGCATTTCCTCCTACCAGATTCTGTCGGGCAATTGTGAAATGAAATAAAATAAAATTAAAATTAACTATAGGTACAATAAAAAACTTTACGTACACAACTGAAAATAAACCCGTGTGTTTGATCGAAAAGATAACTAACAAGTTTTTGCCGACCGTACACATCGACAGAGTTACCTGTTAAAGTAAAGCTTGGCTGTTCGTCGCGTTAAAATTGTTTCTAACTTCGTATAGCTCAAAGTTTTGATATAGAAGGATTAAGTAATTTGCAACTCATGCTACGAGGACGGAAACATACCTTATAAAATAATTAACATATATGAAGAGCGTACCTAATAATAATTATCATATGTAACGGTATATTGAATGATTATCACTCGAAATATAGTTATTGTCGGATAGATGAAAAGATTACTTAGTTAAGTCATAGAATTAGCATTGATAAATGGATAGACTGATAAAATTTAATAACCACACACTGAATGAAGCCATCCAGTAAAGTAAATTTATACAGTATATCAGTCTATACATGTCCCACTGCTGGACAAAGGCCCCAACTGTACAGAAGGTATCAGGGCATAGTCGTGACGGATTTCACATATCTTCGAAATTTTTTTTAATTATTATTTCGAAAGTATGCAGGTTTCCTCGCGACGTTTTCAACGCTGAGCACGTGATAATTCAGCACTTGAAATTAAAAATTTAATTGGTGCCGCCACCGGGGATCGAACTCGGGTTGCGAGAGTCAAAAAACTTTCAACATTCTACTTGTCTCTTTACTTGGTCACATATTTTCATATTCATAAAAAATATATCTATTGATAGAAGATAGGAGGGATAGGAGCACAATGCGCTCGCCGTGTCCGGGGACCTTCAAGTCAGCCGTTATAGAGTGCGCAGGCTCTACCTGAATTGATAACCATTGTGTCGGTTACTTAGAATTATAGTCAAACTTCTAAAACTTCTATGTAATTTGACCCACTGGCCAATAAATTTTAAAAATCAACTATCGTTTCTATACTAACCTACCACTATCTACACTATAGAAATTTTATTATTCAACTAGCTTTTCGCCCGCGACTTCGCTCGCGTTGAAGTCCTTAAATAAATATCTTTCTTTAAAATCTATATATTTTTAAAGAAATTTTTTTTATCACACCTACTACCACATTTCATTTAAATCGGTTCTGTAGTGTTGGCGTGAAAGTGAGACAGACAGAGTTACTTTCGCATTTATAATATTAGTATGGATTAATACAAATGAAACCAAAATAATGTTTGCTTTAAAAATTACAAATTGTGAATTTAGATAAGGATGGGCAATACAGTACATCTCATTGAACATTTCTTAAACTGTACTAAATGCCTAAACACCTCTTTACTGCGCACAAACTCTGATCACAATTTTTAATCAAGTCTACCACAATATTGAAATCCACGATTGAAATTATTTATCTACGATCCCCGCCAGCCGGCAGCACCAACCCTCCGTTGAATAGACAAAGTTGATTGGTCCGTCATCGGCAGCGAACGTACAGTTTTGATTTTTATGCTGTCTTGTTATTTTTTTATTTTATCTGTGCTTCCCCCATGTCTATTACGATAATATTACCACTTTTGTCTCTATTGAAAACGTTTACTTAGTGAATTAAAAACTCCAAACAAACGCCAAAAATTTTGAAACTCACTTGCACCTTCATACCTAACTACGAATACACTAATAACAAGACGTTCTTCTATTTTCGTAGATGTTTAAGTCAAAAACCCTTTTATGTTACTTTTGGTAAGTACAGAAAGAGTTTTTTCACGTTGCCGACGGATGTGCAGCGACAGGACCAAATGATTAAGCTAAGAAATAAAAAATAAGCATTAATGTATGTAGAGGCCGTCACGAAAAATTTGTTTGTCCTTGACGATTGCGAATTTCTATATATCATTAATACAGTGATCTAAATGTATTAATTATTTTTAGAAGTTCGCAATCCCCACGTACGAGCACACCGAAAACCTAGGCCATTTCGGTTAACCCATTTTATTTTCTAAAATAATATCAGCTCTATCTATTTTCTATCGGCAATTTTGTAATATCGAATAACCATCATCGCTATTCAATTTTATAATACATTGTGTTTTGAAGTATTAATTATGAAGAACATTTCACTCTTGTAGTCTGACGTTACTAATTAAGTTTCCCACAAGTTGCAGGTTCGCGTACTTTGTATAAGCTTACGTATACCGCCTTGTAAGTGACGGCTCAATAAGATTCGCATCGTATTTCGCAAGAAGTTGGCATGCATTGGATGCCTTAGCGCATCCAGCGATTATGGGAAAATTTAATAGCAAAGTTGAAATATCTAGTAGTCAAATGTTTCATTGCAAAATGTTATAATTACGAATAGTGGTCGTTTACTGTAAACTAACGAACGGTGTCTGAAACATTGATCGTCGTAGAAGTTAACTAATCTTAAACATTTTGAATTGATCATTCTTATCATTAAGAAGACCCTTCTGATCTATTCAAAGAGTTTAACCGTCCTTATGGCAACTTAAATAACAGTACCAGGCGGACCGAGCTTTGCTCGGTTTGTTTTCTTTTATTGGTAAATCGGATTTTGGAAATTACATTTAGATACAAATTACTGAGTAATGAAACATACATAACATTTTCGATCACAAAACAAAGAACTTTAAAAAAAAGGGGAAAAGAACAAAAACATGTGAAATTTACCGTCATATTCGAATGATATTTTTCATTCCCTGAAAACAGGGATAATAGGACAATTTTCTAAAAATGAAACCTAGATATATATATACAAGAATTGCTCGTTTAAAGGTATAAGCTTTGAAACCCATTTGACAGCCGATTTCTACGATGATCAGTGTTTTAGAATTCGAGCGTAGGCATTGCTTAAAATACAATAAAGACAAAGTAGATTAATACGTTGAGATTTTCGTCGACGTAGAGATAAGACTTTTAGCTCAATGGCTAGACCGTTGAGCATGTGTCCCGTAAGACGCAAGTTCGAATCCTCGAAACGGTGAAAAACTTTAAGTCCATTTTTCTACAATATTTTAAAGCATAGTTTAAACTTTGAGAAATCTCGTGAAACTTTTACCAGTCGCTTTAGTCGAGTTTTGGTGCCTTTTAGTTCGTTCCGAACTGTCAGATATAGGAGGGAATTTAACCTAAGACGGACATTTGACGTTTTCTGTATTTTTCTCGCAATAGTCTGATTAGTTAATTTTACTGGTAGCCTTGCCAGGTTCGATCTTCCTTACAGGAGAACGTTATTGTGTTTCACAAATAGTTTTTCCGTGTTTTAGTTTAATCTAATTATTTATATATTTTTCCGCGACATGACCACTGTTGCTGTCGTTGACTGCCTATAGGCTCGTCCGAGGACTTATCATGGCCTCATGAGTGCGGTAGCCAAGACGAGTGAGGTAACTTTAGTAACGATTGGCATCGCATCTACAACCTCTCAAGTGTTGTTTATGCCTATGGCTCCATGGGGGCGGTGATCATACCATAACGTGCACTACCTCTCGTATTTCTACTTACCTTTTTAACCACGCATAACTTTTCACAGGGAAAACAAAGAATTTAATCAAGCTACCTTTCTCAAAAATTTAATTAAACGTGAAAGAGGATAACGAGCCACATAAGATATACTCAGTATTATCCTATACACTATCACTGTTTAAATTTAAATACACCAAATATTAAATGATAAAAAATATTTGAAACAAATACAAGTGTATTAAACATTCATAAACTAAGGATTCTGTTTGCTCAGAGACTTCCACTGGAATAGCCTCAATTGATTATTTCCGTGCACGAAAATTGAATACCTCTATAAATTTGAAACTGTAAACTCTTATAATAGCAACCTCTAGTCAGATTGAGCCGAGGTCCGGCCCTCCCGGGCACCCTCGACTGGGAAATCGAAACGGTCACTGAGTAATAAATACGTGAGTAATAATACCCCAAGCTGAGGTCCG